CGACGTAAGTGGTCGTGGACCTGGCAACAATACCAGTCTCGACAACAGCCACAGCACCGCCAACAACGCTGTAGGCAACAACCGCCTCAGCGATTCCAACAAGGCTGCTGCCACTTTGATGGTGATAAACACCAGCGCTGATGGGCCGGGCGAACCTTTCCTCTGCTCCCAATCCCACCTTCCCCTCTCTCATTTGGAGACCGGCTGAAAGCTGACTCCCCATTTGGGAGTCCATCACATCTGATCGGTGGGTGTTATCCATCATTTGGCACGGATATCAAATAGAATTCGACATTGTTCCTCCATTGAGTCCTATCTGGTTTACCCCATGCTCGCCGGTGTTGTTAGATGAAGTGCATCAGCTCCTTTCTAAAGGAGCGGTTCGTCGCTTGTCTCTACCTGAAGGACTCCACGGATTCTATTCTGGATACTTTATGGTCCCGAAACGGGATGGAGGTCTCCGACCAATATTGGATCTGAGCGCTATTAACAAATTTATAACACCAAAGAAATTTCGGATGACCACCCTTCAGAATATTCTACCGTTGCTGAGGAGAGAGGACTGGTTCACCTCATTGGACTTGAGGGATGCCTATTTTCACGTTTCGATCCATCCGTGCCATAAGTGTTTGCTTCGTTTTGCTGTTGCTTCTGAAATGTTCGAATTCACTGTGCTCCCATTTGGGCTGGCTACCGACCCGAGGGTGTTTACAAAGTACATGGCTGTGGTCTGCGCATACCTCTGACTACATGGTATTCAAATATACCCCTATCTCGATGATTGGTTATTAGTATCTCAGACCAGAGAAGGACTTTTTTCCTCTATAAATATGACCTGCACCTTGCTGCAGGATCTTGGACTTTGCATTAATTGAGAGAAATCCTCTCTTGTTCCTGCACAGATGATCAATTTCATTGGACCCCATCTGGATTCCATGGTGGTGAAGGCATTCCTTCTGCAAGACAGACAGCGCACTCTTGCTCGACACATCCATTGAATGCGATGAGAAGGGAAGATTCCTGCTCGATCTATCCAAAGACTCTTGGGACACAGGGCCATGTCAGTTGCCGTCATCCCACATGCCAGGCTTCGGCTTTGCCCCCTCCAACTCTACTTCAACAAGATGTTTCGACCACAAAAGGACTTGCCTACAAAGTTGATTCGGCTACCGTCCTCCGTTCTACAATCTCTGATACGGTGGACAGATCCGGCCAATTTAAATGTTGGAGTTCCGTTCCAACCTCGGTGCCCTACAGTGACTCTCGGTACCGATGCATCTCTGCTGGGATGGGGAGCACTGTGTTCCGGGCTCTGCGCTCAAGGTGTTTGGAATCGATAGGAGTCCGGGAATCATATCAATTTCCTGGAACTTCTGGCAGCATTCAAGGCTCTACAATCGTTCAAGGACGTTCTTTGGCACTGAGTAGTTCAGATAGCTTCGGGCAACATTGCTACAGTCTTTTATCTGAACAAACAAGGCGGGACGAAGTTGCCTATGCTGGCTCGGCTATCAATGTGAATATGGAATTGGTGCATCCCGAGAGACATGGCACTCGTAGTAGTACATCTAGCCTGTACAGACAATGTCGAGGCCGATCTAAGCAGACAAATGTCAACATCCCACAAATGGGAGCTGGATCGACAGATATGCGACCAACTCTTTCATCGCTGGGGACATCCGAACATGGACTTTTTCACTACCCAGCAGAACAGGGTATGCGAGAATTTTTGCTCAAGAGCGGGAATCGGACAAGGATCATCGAGGGATGTTTTTATGATCCCTTTCAGACAATATGAACTTTTACGCTTTCCCTCTGATTCCCCTCATTATGAGAATAATATCGAAGATAGTCTACGATGGGGCCACAGGACTACTGATAACCCCATGGTGGCCACACCAAGCATGGTTTTCAACACTTCTTTGGATATCTCATGACGAATACCTTCAGCTTCCGACTGTGCCATATCTAATAACTCAGCGAGAGGGCACAGTTCGTCACCCGGATCTGACATCGCTGAAATTAACAGCCTGGCGGATTCAATAACACTCGGTACCAATGACGTTCCAACTTTTATATGGATCATGTTCCTGAGTCGGTCACTAGGATTGAGGCTTCGAATCCGTTGCCTTTCCTTCTTCATTGGACTTGACGAATTTTCCAGGATCGATGGTTTTCCACTTGGAGATTCAGAGCATTCTCGAATCTGCGTTAAGACCATCAATGCGAAAGTCATACACGGCTAAGTGGAGACGATTCTCTACCTTTGCAGAGTCTCATTCGTTTCTTCCATATTCAGCATCCATAGAGAATATTCTTCAGTTTCTCTTAGAGCGCCACCATTTAGGACTTAAACCATCTTCTATAAAGGTGTACCCAGCGGCAATTTCTTACTACCCTGGTACAATTCAGGGATCCTCCATTTTTTCCCAACCATTGATTAAAAGATTCCTCAAAGGACTATATAACCGTAAACCAACGATCGGACCAGTTATACTTACTTGGAGTCTTTCAGTGGTATTGCAGGCACTAACAAGAGCTCCTTTTGAACTTTTGGCGACTGTTGATTTGCGCCTTGTTTCCTGGAAGACAGCATTTCTTGTAGTGGTTACATCAGCTCGAAGAGCTAGTGAGCTCTGTGCCTTCAGGGTAGACGCTCCTTATTTGAATTTCCATAGGGAGAAAGTTGTTCTACGAATGGATCCGTCTTTTCTACCGGAAGTGGCTACTACTTTTCACATGAGTCAGGAAGTCGTTCTCCCTGCCTTTTCCATTTCCATCGAATCCGATTGAGAGATCCTTACACATGCTTGACGTACGGCACTGATTAGCCTTTTATAGATCAAGGACTGAATCCATTCGTCGCTCCAATCGGCTCTTTGTTAAATACTCTGAGCATGACCAAGGTTCTCTGGTTACCCCTCAAAGACTTTCCAAATGGATAGTTCACACTATAACTTTGTCCTACCAGTTAGCTAAGATAGACTTACCTACAACCCCGAGGGGTCATTCTACGTGAGCAGTAGCTGCTTCTTCAGCCTTTGTGGCAGGGGTCCCGATTGACGATGTCTGCAGGGGGGCCACTTGGGCCACTCCATGCACATTCGCATGGACATCCAGACGATAATGTTTAGTGAGACATGACTGTTCCTTTGGCAGAGTCGTCCTTTCAGCTGTTCTTCGTTGATGACACTTCCCCTCCTCCAGTCAGGGTAAGCTTGCTAATCACCCATATGTGTGATGCACAGAGGCCATGACAAAGAAAAGCAGGTTGCTTACCTGTAACTGATGTTCTTCGAGTGGCCATCTGTGCAGTCACACAACCCACCCGCCGGCCCTGCTCGGTGTCAATGGGTGGAACTTATTATCGGTACCATATTGCTTTTTATTTTTCAGTACCTACATTGTATTTCTTAACTTGTCATTGGCGCTTGCAATGTTTTTTTCCTTAGTTTAATTTTTTTTTTCCTCTAGAGAGCGAACATCCAGTCTATCAAAGACTGGAAAATGGCGGACACGCCACTCCATATATACTACGGGAGGGGGGAGGGGAGCGGAGTTTCCCGCCAAAATAGTTAGCTATCAATCTTCCGGCCATAGGCACTGTGCAGGCACAGAACCCATATGTGTGACTGCACAGATGGCCACTCGAAGAACATCAGTTACAGGTAAACAACCTGCTTTTCTTATCTGGCAGCAACATTTGTGAGGATTGATAGATGAGAGGCTTCTGTTGAGAATGGTTTAGACTGCAACAAATGGTTCAGTGAGGAATTGATATCAGCATTTTTCCCAGTTTGAAAGCAACTGGTTAAAAATAGCTATCTTAATGTTAACTGCAACAAATACAACTCATATGTGGGTATATAGCTATCACAGGCTTGGTAACAAAGGCTAAAGCATGAATTCTAATGCATAAGCAAGACATTGTCGAGGGAGTTTAATGTCCTGCTGTAGTTTGTAACTGAAATAGTACATGTGAGACATGAGAGAGAGGTATTTTTACATCCACATATGTAGGTAAAATATCACTACTAAAATATAATATTGACATAATATGTATGTGGTGTAACCTGTTGCAGATAAATAATTTTTAATGAAGGAAACTAAATGGAACAGATAATCGATGTCTTTATGTTGGCAAATACCATGGGGACACAGAATTTTTTTAAAAAAATCCAAGGTTGTAGTGTTGATTAAGCATATTGATGCAAAATGAGAAAGTTGTAATCAGGAAGATAAAGTCTGAAGAGGATTAAAAAGTGGGAAAGTGCTGTAAAAGCCTGTGAAAATGAAACAAGCACTGACAAGTTTGTAGCTAGGCAGACAGCAGAAACAGAAATCTGTTGACTTAAATGGCTACTGATTTTAATGTTTTTGCCATAGTATATAGTATTTTTTGAACCATGAACAATAAAGGGTTCTTTTCTGGGTTCAGAGGACAAAACACGCAATCATGGTATGAACAACCCTCAAATAGACCTTTGTGCCTTATTGTAGTTGATGACAATGATAAGTCTCAATGGTTAGTCACCATGTATGACGTACATGGCATGGCAAACGGCCAGCCATAACAGTGGTTTGTTGTCATGTTTCTTGTGTAAAATGGTCTCTGAATCAGGTTTTTCAGTCATTGCACCTAAGCTGTGGAGCTCTCTCCTGTGAGAACTTCATCTTATTTCTTTTTGATAGGATTTCCACCAAATGAAAGAGTCCTTCAGTTTTGGGGAATCCTTTGACTCTCTGCTTATTTATTTTTTCTCCATATAGTTTTACGGAATTTATTGGATTTTGTGGCTGGTGATGTGAATATTTCTAGGTATTATTTTTAAGGAGAACATTTACAGTATATATCTTTTTATTAAATTGATGTTATTATTGTCAACTGCCATGAAATTCTAGGAAGGGTGAGGTATAAATTTGTTAAATAAAATATACTAACTGGGGTCATTATTCACAAGGAAAATAACTGAAGAGTTAAATATTGCTTTCTATTTTAGCTTCAAGTATCTTCACTGTTAACAACACCACAAATGTCAACCGCTGTGCTTCCACTTCTGGAGTATAATTCAATAGCTGGATCAAGTGGTAAATATTGTCTACATTTATTTTCATTTAATGTGGTGACATTAGGTCATAAAACATAGTTTTGTAATATTTATTACACATGTATATTTAATGTTTTGTCAGTCCTGTCTTAAAGGCATATTGCAACTCCTTACTTATGGAAAATGATTACAACTTTCTAAAATATTCTATTTAAACTAGAAAAACTACTAACATTGTCAAGAGAGGAAGGGGTATGCCCAAACTCCCTGCTATGTAGGCAGGGACAAAACAATTATTAAGGCAGGCTGCCATTTCCCCTTATATCAACTGCAGCCTGTGCCTGAGGACTCTCCGATTTCACTGGCAGTGCTAGGATTTAGAAACAAGAATCCAGACTGGTGGCTTGTATTTAAGCCCTAGGCCTGAAACATTATACAGTAGCAATTACCAGACAAAAGACTGAATTTAGTTGTTGTAATTTGGAAGGAGGTACATGCAACTCCTGTAAGCTTATTTGCACAGGATAAGGGAGAAAATGAATAAAAAGGTATATGAGAATTAGAGTAACCTTTGGAAACAGTACTTAAAGCAAAAATAGCAAAGATGTACCTAAATATGTCCTATGTTACCTAACTGCAATTCTTCTATCCTCCCAACACCATAGGGGAGGGTAGAAGTGCCCACAGGAACACAACTGAGATGGTTCAGGCCTATTATCAGTGTCATACTCTGGCCATAAGGGCCAGAAGCATCTCAGGAGAGCAGGCACACAGGTCATTGCAATGTTCCGTGTTACTTCAGCCTGGCCAAATACAGTTGGATGAACAGAGCATGGAAAGGAAAAGGAGTTCTTCACAAATAATATATCTGAATAAATAAAATAAAGAATATTACTTAAATCACAGTCAAACTTCCTCTCCTGACACCATTCTCATCTAGAACAAAAAACACCCAAATGTAAAATGCTGCTATTAAGAGTAGTTTGAGTTCAATCCTCAATTGAGCAGGTTGCATAATTATATGTGGACATGCTTTTAACTAAATATATTCTGCCTCTCAGCATAAATACTGACCCTATTTAAAAATAACATGTAAAACACTAAAATAAGCAGAAGATGCATAATAAAACCCATAGGACTGCAGGTACCTTCCCTCTTTTGCTCTGTAATCTTCACCTTCCCTACAATGAGCATCCTTAGTAAGCTTGGTAGAGGAGGTATAGGTATTTCCATCCATACCCCTGGCTTTCAGAGCTCCTATATGCTGTATGTTAAGGAAGCCTGAATGTGACAAGAGACCAAGTTGACATAAGCTGAGTGCACATTGTGGTGATTGTCCCTCTATGTTAGCAATAGTCAATTTAATTCTCAGCAGATGTACTTTGAAGATGAATAGTCATCTGAGATTCATAGGTTTAGATGCACACATAGGGCAATATCCATTACCCCACCAAGATCGTCTCAAAAGTGGCATCTGCTGCTTGTGCACTTTCAGGAATTTTGCACTTTCAGGAATAACCAGAAGTGAGTGGAAATGCTTATTTTTGGAATAGGGCAGGTCATTGATGCTCACTGAAGGGGAGCTCCACCAACCTGACCCAGAAACAAGTAGTTCCACTTACATTATGTCTTTTTCTAGGAAGTTTTAAGCTTCTTGGGCAAATGGTGGATGTTACTTGCAGAATAGATTTGGCGAACTGTGAGGCTGATGCAACAGAATGGGAGGAGCCACTTGCAAAACTGAGGCATAAAGAATCAGTGGAACATTGGATATTGCCTAAATTTTATTGTTTTATTGTGTTTTATCTTGTGTTGTGAGCCTTCCAGAGGTGCTGTGGCACAACTGGGCAACATACAAATGTTTTAAATAAATAAATACATAAATAAATTCAGAATTAGTGCCACTTGTGACATTAGAACCAACAAATTGTTCTTGTTTTCTATCAATCATACATGTAGTCTTGCCGGTACATTAGCTGCAAAAAATAACTTATTCAACGAACACCTTCTAACACTGTGCGCGTCCCTCTCTCTCTAATTTGCCTCAACTTTTAAGTAGCAAAAACATTCTTATTGAATTCCTTGCAAGTAATATTCAGCAGGTCATGTTAAGCAAAAGACAGAGGTTTTTGTTTGCACGTAGTTATTCAAGCCAATTGCTTGATGTTACAACTGAGACTTTTCGCTGGGCACATATTTATACTGAAGGAACACAACAGGATACCTGATATTTCTTCACTGAAGTAATATCTGTATGAAAACCTGGAGGGACTGGTGTTAGAGATACCACTTAAGTTCGGGTACTTGCTTGTGTCATCTACCTCAGGATGACAGCAATTATCATTATAAATTTCTGCACTCACACTTATAATAATGTGGATGTGATCATTATATTGACTGCATAGAGCACAGGAAAATGTAAGCATTTTATAACCACTACTTTCTTACTTATTACAATTAGAATCTGAAGAAGAATTTTATGATGCCCCAAGTAGTCCTGTGGAAGATTTACCATTTTTTGAGGCACCTTTGGGATCCTTGGATAGGGCAGCCAGCATTAAAAGAAAGCCAGCAAGACGAGAATCTTTGAAGAATATGATTGATTTCCAGTTAAGATTCGAAATATCTGAGGTAATAACTAATTTTCATAGAAGCCCTGTCTGCATTTTCAGATACTAACCACAATAAGATTGGTACTTTTAATTGTTTTTCAAGACCTTTAAAGATGTTAACCACTAAATTCAGTGCAGAGTCAAAATATTAAGTTATTTGTTTCGGTTATATCAAGATATATTCATCATTTATCTCTGATTTGTTCGAAGTTTTTATAGTGTCTGCCAAATTAAAAAATATTTTGAGTTACAGTTTTATGTTATTTGTTCAAATATATCTTAAATATTTTTGAATTAACTGTTCAAGTCCAGAACAACCACAAGAATGTAAATTTAATTCATGAAGGGGAAGTGATAGCAGCTCTAGCCAATCATCCACTTTTCTTACCCACAGTTCTACAGTCTCTTGAATCACTGTCGGATCCAAGGCAGTTTAAAGAATACCAGAATGGAAGAACTTTGCAAATGCAAAAAGAAATCTTTTGATTGTTAGAAGAGCATGAAACAGACAGTGGTTTCAGACTATCCAAGAAAGGTGTTGAAGTGAGGGTTGGGAAAGAAATAAGGGCAGAGGAAAACTTTGCAAGATATTTATGACAGGATGGTTCAGTGGTGTATGGGGAAGATTACTGGGCCCTGAGCTTGAAGCACTGCGAATGGATTGTATACTAAAACTTTTGGAAGTCCCTGCTCTGTGTATGAAACTGTTAAGCTATGGCTTGGCTAATGCCATGCCTCATCACCCCCTCCCCCAGCACTGGCCTTTGTGGACCCCCCCATGCACCTTCCACCTTGGGCGGCCTATGTAAGAGTCTGGTGCCCAGGCCAGTGGCCTTAGGTGGCAAAAGGGCAGTGCCAAAGAGCATTGCCCATTTGACACCCAGTGGTACCGGTTTGGTGCAGGTTTGTATCCCAGGCTTTTTGTTTCTCTCTTCGTGAGGGGGAAGATGAGGATATCCGACTTCTGTTAAGTTCTGTTGTATTTGGTTTTATTGTCCTGTGATCATCCATTATACTGTTACAGTTTTTAAGCATATTCTCTACTTAGCCCTGTGGGCTATGGAGTGGTATACCAATGTAATAAATAATACATCATATGGAACATATTAATCTATATATGCTATATGCTATATCTCTCTGTATATCTATATGTAGATATATATGCTGCTTTGAGAAGGTTTTGCCAACTCTCCAGCATAATTCTTGATTAGCTCGCCATCTCAGTTTTGTTTTTCTTCATAGGTTTTCGTTCAGGTGTGTTGTCTTGATGAAGGGGTTGAAAAGCCAATGCTTCGCTTAGAGATTTTAAAATTAGGCACTGAACTTAATCTAAGGACATATGATATGTCTGCTACTGCTTTCCTAAAAGAGATTTGTTTAATATGCCCAGAATATATGGGTAAGTATATATGTTTAAAAATAACAGTTTATTAATTAATCAGTTAGGGACACTATATTTATTTGTAGTTCAAAGAATAGCTTTAGTGTGAGGAATAGAGATGAGATCCATTTTTTCTAAATTGTTGATCTGCATTACTTATCCCCTCTATGTGAAAAGCAGGGTGAAATGGCTTTCATAGATACTAAGTATGCTGCCCATCAGCTTGTCAGGAAAGGACTCATCATGTGCAGGGTAGCGTGTACAGCCTTCATTTTTAACTTACGGTGTTCATGCTGCATATTTGAAGTTTGACATGACTACACTCCTTTGTTGTTTGCAGTTCAGCACATGAGACAAGGTAAAGGGAAATTGTCTGATGCCTAGGTGAAGTAACGCAGCCAACCCCAACCCAAGAAGACCCCCTCCCAAGTCTTGAGCTTCACCACTGATCAGCTTTCTTAAATGATTTCCTGGAGATGTTTTGGATTTCAGTTTCCATTAGCCAATTCCTAACCAATAGTTAGGAATGCAGGGTGTTGTAGTTCAAAGTATCTTTAGTGTCCCAGCTTGGGGAAGATTACCTCAAGGTATAGTGGATGGAATGAAAGCACCATAGGGATAATGATCAATCCTTTGCTTTTCATTCAAAACAAATACATAGAGCATGTGTACTAGTCTAATGCTAAATGCTGGGAAAAAATGGCAGTACTTGCTTTGTTGTTTGAATTTAACGATTGTTACAATGTAAAGAATATTTCACTTACCTGGTTTATGTAGCTGTTTTGACACTCTATTTAATTTTAACCTTTTAACCAAATTATAAAGATGTTCTTTGCATCCCAAGATGCTTTGTGTACTATATGTGTAACTTCAGATTCTGTTTTGTCTCATTTCATGTGTACATAAAGGAGTGATAATTTTGAAACGTAGTGACTAATTCAAAATAAGCATGTTGTTTATGCTTCTTTATTTGTTTCTTTAATTAGATGATAAAGGCAAACCAGTTTATATCATTTCAACACTGGATAATTTAATGGATGATCTTCTGGCAATTGAATACAGAAAGGTAAGCTTTAAAATATTTTTCTTAACCATTCTGTTAATGAGTTTTTGTATATCAGTGTATGAAACAATCAAATGTAATTTTCAAAAAATGTAGTGACCTGATCCTGTTCTTATTCCAGCAAATGAAACATTCAGGTTGAAATTAAAGTAGCAAATCTAGTAATATATTTATATAAATCTATGGTGCAGTCACAGCTGGAATACTGTGTGCAATACAAATAATTCCATATCAAAGAAGATGCTACAGTGACAGAAAAGGTGTAGAAAAGTGCTTAATTATAAAAAAGATAATAGTTGTCCATTAATACTAGGACTTGAGTTCATTCATTGAAACTAATTTATCATAAATTTAGGAATAGTCAAAGTGTTGCTTCAAAGAACACCTAATTGATCAAAGTGATGTCTCAGGATATGGTGAAAGCTACCTGTTTTAATGGATATACAATGGGATTTGAGAAATTTATAAGGGCACCCTCTCTTATTGACTATTGGACTCACTGGGCTGATTCACATAGCATAACAAACCATGGTGATTTTTACTATTGTTGGTCCTCCAATCCCAGTCATGGATTTCACTGTGCTCCATTTGGTTTTTAGAAACCATGGATAGAAAAAAATTATCTGTCCTATGGTTTATTAGTACTATGATGGTAGTTGTGTCAGTCAAACCTGGAAAATACAACTAATTTTGATCTCAAGGGAGCTGCTTGGCAATGACAGCTCACTGTTGCTCTTGTCAAGTGGCTAACCAGAAAGCACTACTGACAGCTTTCATTTGTGTAGCTGACAGAGGTCTTCCCACTTTGTCTGCTTCCTGTCTTTAAAATCTTCTTTTGAGGCAAGAACGGGAACTGGGTGATGCTACAGAAAGAAGTACCGCTGTTCAGCAGATTCTCATGCTGCCCTCCTTTGAATGCAGCAGAACATCAAAAGTCAGCTGGACAGTGGTGCCCAGTGGGAAGCAGTTCTGCTCAGTTAATTTGCCACATCATTCCCCTTTCTCACTTCCACTTATGAGAGAGGTATTTCCAACCTGGTAACCATCTGATTACTTTTCTTGCAATCCACAGTCATAAAGAGAAAGCAGTGTTTTTCCTCCTTTCTCACTCCCCATGAAGCAGTTCAGGATGCACTCTGGCAAGTAGAAGCAAGTCTGAGGGTGTGGCAGGGGAACAGGCTGAGTGGCACAGCTCCCAAATGGATACCATGCCTAACTGATTTTTGCCCCTCCTGCTTGCATATAAGAGAGACTTTCTGGCATGTGTGGATTATGGGAAATTAGCTGAACAGCACAGCCCCTAGCAGGACAGTGCCACCCAGCTGATTCTCCATCCTCCACTCATAAATGTGAGTGGCTTTCTTGGGAAATCATCTGAGCAGTACTGATCTTCCTTTTGCCCTGAGCATTGATCAGCCATTCCCCTTCTTGCACCATTGATTCCCTCTGAAGCAGGAGGGGAGTGGCTGTGCAATAGAGACTGTCCTTGAAGCCTCTTGCTTTGCCTGTACTCTTTTTTGTGAGCTTCCCAATGTGTGACCCTGGTTAGAACCATACTTGGATGAAATTGATTATCTGGACCCATTTCAGTCCTGCTTCAGACCTGGGTACGGTACTGAATCTGCCTTGGTCGCCCTGTACAATGACCTGTGCAGGGAGAAGGACAGGGGGAGTGCATCCCTGTTGGTTCTTCTGGACCTCTCAGTGGCTTTCGATACCATCGACCATGGTATCCTTCTGGATAGGCTAGCGGGAGTGGGGGTCGGAGGCACTGCTCTGCAGTGGTTCCGCTCTTATCTCAATGACCGTTTCCAGAAGGTGGTGCTGGGGGACTATGGCTCTGCGTCATGGCAGCTATGCCATGGAGTACCGCAGGGGTCCATTTTGTCCCCTTTGCTGTTTAACATCTACATGAAACCACTGGGAGAGGTCATCAGGAGGTGTGGGCTGCGTAATCATCAGTACGCTGATGATACCCAGCTCTACCTCTCGTTTTCCACCAATCCAGGTGAGGCAGTGGCTGTGCTGAACCAGTGCCTGGCCGAGGTAATGGGCTGGATGAGGGCCAATAAACTGAAGCTCAATCCAGACAAGACAGAGGTCCTGTTGGTCGGCGGATCGAGCTTCGGTGAGGGTGAATTGAACCAAGTCCTGAATGGGGTTGCACTCCCTCTTAGGGACAAGGTCCACAGCTTGGGAGTGCTCCTCGACCCAGAGCTTTCACTGGAAGCTCAGGTGACAGCGGTGGCGAGGAGCGCTTTCTTTCAGCTTCGGCTGATCCATCAGCTGCGCCCCTACCTGGAGTACGACTGCCTGGCAACAGTGACACACGCATTGGTGACTTCCCGACTTGACTTTTGCAACGCACTCTACGTGGGGCTACCCTTGAAGATGGTCCGGATACTTCAATTGGTTCAGAATAGAGCTGCCAGGCTGCTGACGGGGACTGGACGTTATGTTCACATGACTCCAGTCCTCCGTCAGCTTCACTGGCTTCCCATTGAAGTCCGGGCCCAATTCAAGGTGTTGGTGATCACTTACAAAGCTCTAAACGGCTTGGGTCCTGGCTACCTGAAGGAGTGCTTACGTCCATATATGCCCACCCGCCCCCTGAGATCAGCGGGAGAGGCCCTTCTCCGGGAACCCTCCGTGAAGGAAATTAGGAGGATAGGTACTCGGAGGAGGGCTTTCTCTGCGGTGGCGCCCAATCTGTGGAATGCGCTCCCCAGAGAGGTCCGCCTGGCGCCGTCGTTATTTGTTTTTCGGCGCCAGGCGAAGACCTTTTTATTCAAGCATCATTTTAATTGTTAATGTTATTTTTATTTTAAAGTTTTTTTGGCTAGTTATTTTATACAGTTATGTGTATTTTATATTGTTATTTATGTATTTTAATTTATTTATTTGTAAGCCGTCCTGAGGCTTCAGCAAATGGGGCGGCTTAGAAATTTTCTAAATAAATAAATACATACATACATACTGGATCCCATACTGATGGGACCATTTTTCTAGTTCAGCATGGGGCTAAAGTTAGTATCAAAACTAATATTGAGGAAAAAATAGTAGTTTTTTGTAGCTTTTTAAATGTAGTTGCATTGTACTGTATGTTTTCTTAAAGTTTTAACTGACTTTTTTATCCTTTGAGAACAGGCAGATATTAATGCCCCAGATCTGAAAACTACTTATAAGAATGTCCTTCAGCTGATAAAGGTAATAATGGCAGCTTATTTTCATCATATTGCTAAATGCAAGAAGATGCATTTAAAACATAGTCTTACTTGGATTTACTTTGTTGTTTAGGTGACTTTTTCTTCTATAGATATCCACTTACACACAGAAGCACTTCTGAATACTATGAATTTCCTAAATAACCTTCTCCCAACGCAAGAGTCAACTGCAGTAGAGATCACCCAGGAAAAAGAGGAGAAGAGGGAAGTTCTCAAGAAATTTAGTAAGGTCTTTCAGTCTTAAACTGTTAGCCAAATTTTACATTCTAAATTCTTCAAGATACATAAAGGAAACTGTTTCAGACTTAATAGTTGTCATTTTCAAATGTCTCCAGATGATAGTACAAATGCTTCTTTCACTATTGAGAGTTTTAAGAAATGTTCATTTGCCCAAACTCTCTTCTGAAAATAATTCTAGAGTTGTTTATGGGGGAGGGAGAATATGCTCTAAGACTTAAATACTTTCTTAAAAGTGAGTATTGACACTATCAGATGGTGTAGGGGCTACTGCCTACTGGTCAAAGCCTTATTTTGCCAAAGCAAAAGTTCCCACCCCACCTTGGAATCTTAATACTGGAAATTGCAAGACTGTTTCCCCTCTACACCAAATCAAATTATGCAGCCAGGTCTTTTTAAAATCTTGCACTGAGGAAGGAAGCAGAAAGACAGCAGCTGAGATCGTGCCACACAGCAATTCCTGGGTAACCAGCCACAGTAGTTTGCCATACTATATGAATGTGAACTGCATCCTACTTAGTAGTTTTGGAGGGACAAAAAACCACCCAAACAACCCATAGCTTGTTCTAGGGTTTTATGAGTTTACAATAGCTTGTTGTGCTATCTGAACGCAGAAGGTTGTCCTTTTGTGTGAAACCCCCCCCCCCCCACAAAAAAAAAGCCCTTGCCACTTTTGGTGATCTCACCTGTGCCGTCATCAGTAATGGGTCCTCCACTAGTGCTCAAACAGTACTTCAGAGTTTCTATCATTAACTCCATACCGTTTTGTGAATTATCTTTTGTGGTGACAGAAATACATTCAGTTCAGACCATAATCTGGTATCATTTTTGCAAGTGCACACCTAAGGCTGATCAAAATGTGGAGTCTAGCCAGTCAGTGGTCTGTTAAGTGTCTGCTGTCAAAGTGCAGTAGATAGTATCTGTGAACATTGACAAAGCAAGTTCGCATATAGATTTATTTGTGCATGCTTGGCAGCTTTCAGGTGAAAAGCAAAGCAGTGAAGGGTGTTTTTGCCCTGAAATGGGGTGGCAAGAATTTCTCCTTCTTAGAGTGTGATCTTCTTCTGCTTCTGCTTCTGCTTCTGCTTCTGCTTCTGCTTCTGCTTCTCCTCCTCCTCCTCCTCCTCCTCCTCCTCCTCCTCCTCCTGATTGGTCACAGTCCCCTTTTCCACACTTCCAGGGTCTTTAGGTATTCTGGAAAGGGTGTGTCTATATCCCATCACCTTTCCAATAGCCCTTTTAACAACTACCATAAAGGTTCTTTTCTTTAAACTTATCTGGAAAAATTGAGCATTTGGAGGGGGTATGGAAATATATGCAGAACTCCTTTCTCATTTTACATTCTTTGTTGTGGTCTCTGCATCACACATATGGGTGCAGGCGCAGCAGCACCCATGTGTGTGAATGCACAGATGACCACTTGAAGAACGACAATTACAGGTAAGCAGCCTGCCATTTCAATTGACACCTTGTCAACAGAAGGAGTCAAGTGTGTGTAAAGTAACCTATATGCAGCCTCACTTGGTCCATCTCCAGGGATGTTACCTCCTGCACATTGATGCAGACATGTACGAGGACATTGACTGGGCAAGACATCACACTTTGAGCAGCAGTAGGGTACATACTTGTGACAGACTGGGAAATATGGTTTGAATTGTACATTTCTGCCTTTCCTTTTCGCCACCCCAAAAAGGTGCTAAGTAGCCAGCTATGGTCACCCCAGAGTGTTTCTTGGCACTGATGGAGCAGCTGCATGGCACAGGGCTGCAAGAATAAATAGAAATAGAAAGGAGATTGTGATCAGAGCAGGGAAAAGAAGACAGGAAAGGTTCTGCGAAGCAGGACTCTGGAATACTGACTGGGGGTGGAAGGAAGAGAACACCACCACAATAAGCCTGATCATTTGTTAGGTACACTGTGAGTTGTTCTCTGCACAACCCACATGGTATAGCTTATTCACAGGGTGGGTTGCTATGTCATATGAACTCTCCCAATTTTTCTTTGCAATGCCTAGCCCTAAGGATTTTAAGAACTCTTAAGGATACTAATAGGGACTTATTAGAACTAGTTGAGAAAAATCATCAAAGTATTTCAAAGAAGATAAAATCAATCTGGATGCTATTATGTCCACTGCTTTCCTTCTGTGTCTTTGTGTATTAACCTGAGTCTTTGTGCAAATAACTTCCACATTGGAATTTAGATCACTAATTGGAAACCATTTTATTGTTACAACATTTGCATTATATATTTCCCATAGCATCAAAGAAGTCAAAGTATGAAGATGTTTGTGATCTCCATGTTTGTGCAGACATGTCCTGTTTACGCGTTTTTTTGAGAGACCAAAAACGCAGGATATCTGAAATTCGTGTTGAAGGTAAGAATAAAGCAAGACACTGGAATGGCACCACTTTGTCCCTGGATGCCTTTCTTAGTATCCACTATAGGGATGTGAAGATCAGGTCAGAATCTGGCTCTTTTGCATTTCACTGGATTTCTTTCCCATGCTTAGCTCTGGCCAGGAAGCAAGACCTTGAACACTCAGGAATCTAGTAGCTTCTTTGTGCAAAGTGTGCAAAGCAGGCAGGTCTTTGTGCAAAAGGCACACAGTGTGTAATTCTTTGCTGAACATATGCATAGACCCTAACTATTTATTTTTATGCTGATTTTATATTGTATATTTTAAATTCTTTTTAAATTGTGAAATGTCCAGAGAACTTACACTGTTGGAGAAAGAAAAATGTGATAGATTAATAACTAAGGAACAAGCATAGTTAATGAGCAATGTTACAGAAATTGTTAGGGAAAAGCTAAGTTCCTTCAAGAAGCTTATACAAAGGAAATGTAGGCATAAAATAACAGTTGTGAAAAAGCATTTTTAGGTGTATATTGCTAATAACATGAAGGGCATGACCGATTGTTTAAAGAATAAAGTGTTTGTTGAGGAAAAATGCTCAACTTTATAAGCTGATCTGAGCTAGGACTGAATGACTTAGATATTTCGATTTCTTGATATTATGGTAGACAATTCAGTGAAAATGTCAATCCAGTATGCAGCTGCTGTGAAAAAGGCAAATTCCATGTTGGGCACAATTTGGAAAGGAATTAAAAATGAAACTGTCAAGATCATATGATCCTTATAGAATTCTGTGGTGCAACCACATGTACTGTGTATACTTCTGGCTACAGGATTTAAAGAAGTATATTACAGTTGGAATATACCACCACGTTTAATGAAAATTTTCTTATAAAGTATTGCCAAAGCAGCTTCATGGACTTCTGTACATATTATAGCAAATTATTCTGTATGTATATATTTTGAAAGTATATCAGCAAACTAGCTTTTGCATCAGTAACCTGAGCCAAAAAAGTGCAGAAGGTGGTAATATAGGTCAGGGTGATTCTTGGAAAATCCTACAGTCGTATGCATTCCTCTGGTATGTCCTGAGGTATGAAACACCCCCTGTGAGGTTTAGGAGAAAACAAATTTACCTTCTATGAATTTTTGTGAAATTGCTCCCACCTCTTGCTTCCAGGATCAATCATGATTTTCAGTCAGAGACTTCAGTCAGATTCCTATATGTGTGTGGAGGACAGAAAGGACTAATCTTGAGATGTCCTGCGGGGCCTCTTGAATGTGTCTTATGTGTGTGCCTATGCACCTTTTGCAATTTTTCCATTATGGTGCATGTTACTGTTAGATCACCTGTGGAGGTTGATCATGGGTAGAATTAGTTTCTCCAGTGGGACTTAAGGCCATTGTTGCCTTTTCAGTTCAGTTTGGGAAACAGAATGGGTTTTCCTCCTGAGAGGAACCCCTGAAGTGTAGATGTTTAGAGAAAAGATATTCACAATAAGAAAATTGTTTCTTCTTCTTTTGACAATGAAAACTGGGTTCAAAGAAGATGCTTAGTATGTTGCAGCCAGGACCCTACTTCTGCCTCATAAAGAAATGTTTGGGACAGTTTACTTCTTCAGTTAACCATACATGCCTCCCATGGTATGTGTTGCATGGCAGTGCTCAAAAGTTTTTCTTAAATTGCCCAGTATATTCCTAGGCCCAAAAAGCCTGAGGAAGTAGAGGACATAAATTGAAAAGTTGTCACATTAGGTATATTGATTTAAACTGTTATATTTAGGTCTTGATAGCCAAGTGATGATGAAGAAAGAAACAACTGAAATATCAGCTAAGTTAAAGAATATAATTATTGTGGATTGTGATGAGGCGGCACTATATAAAAAGGTATGAATGTTCATTTTAAAGTGTTGATGTCTGCTAGCTGCTAGTGCCAATTGTATGACAGAATCTGTACAACTTGTGCATTTAATATTTTTTAATAGCAGTTGCCTTAAAGCATATCTATATTGTTATTTATTTTATATTGTTAATTTTATATTGTTATTTTTGTATTTTATTGTATTTTATATTGTGCTGTGAGCCGCCCCGAGGCTTCGGCAAGGGGCGGCATAGAAATGTTTTAATAAATAATAATAAATAAATATCATTATTTCCATTTTGCTTACTATGAGTTCTGGACATGTGCTTCATACCAGTCCAATTAAAGTAGTGCACTAATTTGAAGTGCTTGCAGATCACACATATATTAGATATGACCCTGTATTGTAGAAAGAAAGAAAAAAACGGGGTTGGACCGTGGAATAGGGCATTCTTAGGTCTCACACTCTTCCCATTGTGCTTCCTGAAAACCTGCTGTGGAGAGTAAGTAAGAGATGACACATGGACTGCAGGGACCACAAATGGCCAAATTCTCATCTCCTCAATGTTTCTGTTACAGAATTCTCTGTTACAGAATTCTTCTTAGTATCCATGCTCCTTTAATGCATAGAAAGGATCCAAACCATGACCTTTATCTTTGTATGCAAAACCTTATAGTTATCATCTTTGAACACCATTTTTTTTTCTTTTTAAAGGCCCTCTATATTACTGGAAAAGAAGTCTTTAGTTTCAAAATGGTGACATACATGTACGCTACAGATGGTATTTCTTACACAAATATGAATGCCGTTGACAGCAAGATTTATTTAACTGTTGGATGCATTCAAATTGTTTTTGTCAACAAATTTGTTTCTGCTATTTTGGTAAGTTAAGGTATTTTCTCTTTGTTTTAGAAAATGTAGCTAGTAGATGTATAGTTAGTGTGAAAGAAAAATGATTCCTATTTATTTTGTAATGCAATAATGCTAAGGAAAGTCGAAGGAAGATGAAGAAGGGGAAGACAACATATGGGATTGATAGATTCCTGAAAGGAAGTCACATTCTTGAGTTTTCAGGAGCTGAGATGGGATGCCAAGGACAGGGAATTTGGCAGGGCATTCATTTACACAGTTGCCATAAGTCAGAAAACTTGACAGAATATAACAATAAGGTATTATGTGCTTGGGAGTTTAGGGAGACCTTTCAACTAGAAGTACCACATTTGTTAGCATGCAGTTGGACCTGATGGCCTGTCGTTGTTGTTCAGTTGTAAAGTTGTGCCCTACTCTTCACAACCCCATGGACAACATTCCTCCAGGTTCTCCTGTCCTCCAACATTCCCTGGAGTACACCCAAGCCCACACCCGCCTCTCCAGTGACCCCATCCAGCTTCAGCTTTAGTACCTGACCTTCTAAAGAGCAGTCTTGGTTTATTTCCTTTAGAATTGACTGATTTGAACTCTTTGCAGTCCAAGGGACACTCAGGAATTCTCCAACACCACAACTCAAAAGCATCAATTCTTCAGTGTTCAGCCTTCCTTATGGTCCAACTCTCACAGCCATACATTGCAACTGGGAAAACCATAGCTTTGACTATACAAACTTTTGTTGGCAGGGTGGTGTCTCTGCTTTTTAGTATGCTATCTAGATTTGCCATATGTTTCCTCTCAAGGAACAAATATCTTTTAATTTCTTGACCGCAGTCACCATCTACAGTGATCTTGGAGCCCAAGAAAATAAAATTTGTCACTACTTCCATTTCTTTCCCATCTATTTTCCAGCAAGTGATGGCCTTCTAACCCCTTCCAACTCTACTGTTCTATGATTCTATGAAATTATGCTTGGGTATATATTTTGTGTAGTGAGGAAGACAGAGTGGGAAACTACTGTTCTCCAACTGATATTTCACTGAAGAATGATGAATCTCAATTCAGGCTCTCAGTTACAAAATCCTGTTTTTAGAAATGTGCCTGGGATTTCCTTAGCCATAATTAAATTGGGTTATACTGCTATTTACTTGAGGGAAATGTTTTAAAATAATGTTTTAGAAATGTTTTAAAATAAGCAAGAATTCTAGTTCCTGTCATGAAGTGTGAAAGATGATCACTTCCTGAAATCTGTACTGTTCTTGAACTATCCCTGCATCAAGTATCTCTTTGTCATTTTTGTGCTTCATTCTCATTTACAGTCAAAATGGTTGTCTAAAGACAGATCTGCATCATTACACACACATACTTCTTTGTCATGGTCTCTGTGCATCACACATATGGGTGCTGCTCCTGCTAGCATCATCACACACAAATGTACCTCCTTGTAGGCTGATTTATTGATCAACTAAAATTCCTTGATGAATTTGTATTTTATTTTACTAAACTCAATAGAGCTAAAGCAAAAGGCATACTTTTTCAAGTTGCATGCTGTAGTGGCTCATTTTTTTGTTTCAGCTTATCATGGACATCTTTTTTGTTGATTTAAACTTTTTAAAAACTCAACCTAATCACTTAAACAACTCACTCCTACTTACATTGTATCTTTATGTTTTCTTCTACTGTAACCAACGTTTGTTATTCAAGTGCATATGTGGGAGACTGAATCAGAACACAATGATTTGGAATGCATGATAGATTAAGATTTAGCAGTCATACGTTAATGAAATATTTCTATGATTGTTTATCATTATCTATTACTGAAGTGTTATTACCATTTTTCTAGGCATTTGTAAACAATTTTCAAACTGCAAAGGAAGCAATTACTGAAGCTACAGTTCAGGCTGCTGAGAAAGCAGCTTCTGGTGTGAAGGAATTGGCTCAGCAAAGTTCCCGAATGGCACTGGATGTTAATATTAAAGCACCTGTTGTCATAATCCCTCAGTCAGCAATATCTACTGATGTTCTGGTTGCTGATTTTGGTTTGATCACCATAAAGAATGAATTTTTGCTTGTTAAAACTAAGCTTCGTTCTAACATCCCACCTATTCTTGATAGCATTCATGTCACACTGAGTGAACTAAAGCTGTACAGGTAATGTGAAGATTTTAGTTAATTAGCCTAAATACAGCAAATGAACAACTTTGTTGGGGAAGTTGTGTACAAAATACTGCAGCTATGCACTATGTACTATGTAGAAACCAAACAAAAAAATCAGATTGTGCTAGTTAACATTGCTTAGGCCTTCCTGACTGGGGAAAAATGGTATTGGTTGCCTTCCTGGCCAGGTCACTGTGTGAGTGTATTGCTCAATTGTATCTAATAATTGCAGTATTGCTCTAGTGCAACTTGCCAGTCCCTGAGGGTATCATGATGCATTCAGGCAGGGCCATGGCGTCTCGTTGGCCTTTTGGAGGAGGGCTGCCACTTAATCCATTCATCTACCAGTCTTTACAAGGTGGATTGTCTGGCTTTTCTAGAGGGTATCTTCGGCAGGTGTGTTTTGCAGGATGTGCTTTAGGCTTGCAGGAGGCTATCTAGAGGATCCTGTTGGCTCACCTGAGGATATATTGCTTTGTTACATCTCCAGAACTAGCTTGTCCCCTTCATTCATGGGGCAAATGGAAATTCTTTACTCACCAGTGAATTTCTGTTGTATGAAAATAAAGGAGGCCAGCTAGACCTTGCCCTTGGGGCTGGTCCACTTCAAGGCAATTGTGGGTAGATTGGGTCCTTCAATTCTCCATATGTCATCTAGTGCTCAAGCATTCCTGGCATTGTAGCGCAGCAGCAGCAGCAGGACAACCATCTTCTTAAAGCAAGCACATTGAAAGGATCAACTGGAGTCTTCCAGGGAGAATCTACCTCCTCAGGAAGTTCACTAAGGTCTACTTTCCAGACCCAGAGGCAAGGTCTTCTCCAAATTTAACTGGCCTCCTTTACTTGCAAAGAATAAAAATTCACCAATGAGTTTAAAAAAATGTTTCATAAATTGCAAATTAAAAGCAGAAGCAAGGAGTGCACCACTCGTGATCCTCTGGTCCCTGCAGTTCCTGAGATAAACAATCCAGGAACTGCATCCATGATAAAGGAACCAAGTCACAAAGTATATTGCAAAAATATGCTTAACGTATTTCATTAAGGATATAATTTTGATCCCTGTATGTTTTGTATCTAATAAGTACAGTCTTGGGAGTTAGATTGGATTATAAATATTTTCCATTTATATTTACAGGTCAAGCAGTGTCAGTGGCTTACTACAAAATGAAATACAGCTATTGCAGCCATTAAATCTTGAAGTTACTGTTGAACGCAATTTGGCTGCTCTCTGGTATCATGAGATTCCTGACATAAAAATATCTGGACGTCTCAAGCCAATGAATGTAAGTCTTAGTTTAGAAAATGGTTTTGAATATGCATTTAAGTTTACACTGCACAGTACCTTAGCATAAACAGTCAAAACATGATGATACTCTATCATAGGAATAGCAGCTGCTTCATTGTTGAGGAAAAAGGAACAAAATGAAATATTTTCCTTGTTTTTAAATATCCTATTACTTTTAAGATCTCATAACTTTATCAGCAATATCCAGTGTGTTGCACCAAAGATTTTATAAGCAGAGTATAATTTTAGCATTTTTATTTTCACTTCCTTTTCTAAGTATGCCTAACATGTGTTTGCTTTTTTTCGAAAGAGCTGTGCACTGGGTTGACATTTTCATTGAATTGTCTACTATTGATCCCTGTCTTAATTAGTCACTGCTAGCTCAGACTCCATCAGCCTATACCTGAAGTTGGGATTCCCCCCCCACCCCAGTGTGTATTACTTTACACTTGCTTGCATTGAACTGCATTTGCCATTTTGCTGCATTTTCCATCTCTCCCAGCTTGGACAGATTTCTTTGGAGCGCTTCACATCCCCTTTGGTTTTAACCTGCCCAAACTCAATATGAAAGTTGGGCACTATTGCTTTCTCCTAATTCCAGGTTTAATTCTGGATCCTAACCAATAGTCATTCAGTTGTTTCGGCCACCCCGCTCAGCCAGCCACAGCCCTGTCCCTTGCCTCCTCTCACCTCAGCCCGTGGAAAGCAGCCCTTACCTCCCTCCTCGAAGCCTTCTCCTGGCTGGGGATAGCCATCCTGCGCCTGCCTCATCGGTCTCCTGCTCCTGTTCCTGTTCCCGCTCCCAGAGCCGGGTGCCTGCGAGGGGACCTTTCTCCAGCTCAGAAGTGGGGCGGCGGCAAGGAGCCGGGTAGGCCTTGACTGAGGCAAGTGCGCCCTCATGGCTTCCCCTCGTGTTTTGCTCTCCTTTTCGGCGGGCGGCATGGCGTCATCTTGGGCTCCTGCTGCAGCCCGAGCAAGTAGAAGATGGCCACAGTCATGTTCGTCATCTGATGCGGAATTCGCGAACAGAAGCAAAATTTTGCCAAACTTTCTGTTCGCGAACCACTGTATATAAAGTGTTATCATGAGATGCCTGTAGACATGTTTCTGAAGAAGGGAAGTCAGCAGTGAAGTCAGGGTCAATGTAATGGACAAAGTGCAGACTGGCACATGTTAACGGTGACGATCCTTGGTTGTTAGCCTAGACATGCAGGCACTGATCACCTAATTAGCAGATGAGCAGAAAAATCTTTCGGACACATGATAGTGTCTAGTCATTTATCAGATTGTTTGGAACCCAAGTTCTGTGGATAGAAAAGCATCCCAACCTCAGATGAAACAATTGGAGCTCTGATTCCCCTTGCCCCCTGCCACTACTGCAGAAAGAACTGCATCAGCTTTTGTTCAAGGTTGCAGCAGCAATTTAAGAGAAGGACTTCGGGGCACTGTCAAGTGTATCGCCTCAGTTTGCTTCTTTTCTGCTTGGCCGTTTCTCAGCCAAAATCAGCCATCTGAATATTTTTCAGAGTGGGAGGCAACCTTCACCTTCATGCACATCATCTGAGTTACATGCGGTTTCATTGCATTATGCCTTTAGTGTAATGTTAAACATTTTAGCCTAGTTCAAGCCACAGGAGATAGAATTCAGCCTCTTGATAAATTAGAATTTCCTGTTGAAGTTAATTTTTTGTAGATTGTCCACATTAAGGATAGTTATAAAGAGTTCTGGGACTCTAAAGCACAATGGGTTGGATTCAAATGTTTCCCTCTGTGAGTGAAAGAAATTCTTCTATTTGTTTATGGGACTGAATATTTCCATCCAACCCAAAGGACACCAATAATTAATTTCTTTACTGCCCATTAGTCAAAGTGACTCCTCTAGTCAGTTTACAAAATCAAAATAAACAAATACAATATCCATATACAAAATAATGTGTTATTTAATGTGTTTTAATTATTGTAAGCTGTACAAAAAGCCCAGGTGTGAGCTATTGAGGTGAAATACAAATTGAATTAATTAAAATCAAACATAAATAATACACAATAAAATAGCAACCATAAGGGCACGAATAAGCCCACAACAGCCACACTCAAATTGGTTTGAGGCTATGGCAGCAAGAAAACATAACAAAATGTAATATAGTTAAAAGATTTAAAAATTAATTATTAAAATGCTGGGTGAATAAAAAAGTTTTTATGGCACTGGAAAGAATAAAGAGTGAGTGTCAGGTGCATCTCCTTGGGGAGCTGATTCCTAAGTTGGAGTGCCACAGCCAAACAGGTAGCTGCTCTGTTCATCTCTTTTAAACATGGCTCTTTGAGAAAGAACTCAGACAAAGATCTCAGGGTCCAGGGAGGCATATATGGGAAGAGGCATTCCTTTAGATAACCTGGCCCCAAGCCGTTTAGGGTCTTAAATACTTATATACTTTGATTTGAATTAAATACTTTGAACTGGGCCCAGCCTTCAATTGTTAACCAATGGAATTGGTATAAAATGTTCATATCAACCTGTCCCCATCAGCAGCCCTATTCTGAACTAACTGAAATTACCAGACCATCTTCAGGGGCAGCCCTGAATAGAGTGCATTACAATAGTCCAAATGAGAGGATACCATTGTGTGGATCACTGTTGTGAAATTCTGCCTGTCCAGATAGGGTTGTAATTGATAAATCAGCCTGAGCTGTGATAGAAGGTGCTTTGGGCCACCAAGTTAACCAATGACTCCAGTGAGAGTTGTGGATCTGGAAGTATCTTCACACTGCTTACCTTGTCCTTTAGAGTGGGTATAACCCCATTCAGGACAGGTTTAATGTTGCTTCTCTACCAGCAGCACCTTCATCTTGCCTGGATTAAGACTCAGTTTATTGGTCCTTATCCAGTCTGTTACAGAGCCCAGACACATTCACTGCCTCACCTGGGTTATATGAAAAAGAGAGGTAGATCTGAGTGCCATCATCATATTGAAGACATCTCAGCCCCCACCTCACGATAACATCCACTAGTGGATTCATTTAAATGCAAATAGCATGAGGGGGAAAACAGATCCCTTCAGTACCCCATGGCATAACTGCCCTGGCGCAGAACAATAATTTCCCCAGCACTGCCTTCTGGAATTGACTGGTCAAGTAGGAGCAGAACCACTGTGAAGTAGTGCTTCCAACTCCCAACATGGTTGGGGGTATCGAAAGCTACTGAGAGGTCCAGGAGAACCAACAATATATTCACTTAAATAAAGCTTTCCTCTGCAAGCTATAAATAAAAATAATCAAGTCTTCTAGACTTCTTTTATATGATTAAAAATAAAGAATAATTACATTTCAGTTTTTTTTTAATGTTTTCCTGTACTAAGTCATGTTTACATAATAACCCCCCTGTAACATTGTTCCATCCAACTGGGACTTGCTCAAGCCCCCTATTCCATGAACAGATCTAAACCCTGGAAGTGTTTCCAAATATTTAGACCTCATGGGAAGAATTTCTCTCTCTTCTTCTTCCAAAACCTCAAACTACATGAAGCATAGCTAGATGAACAAAGAAGTATGCTTAAGTACAGTTTAGCAAAAACATAAGGTAAAGGAGCAAATAGTATTATTAAGCAACAAAGAAACCTGCAAGTTGTTTGCTTGGCTATCCTGTGAAGTAAGTTTTTAAAATCTTCTGGATTTCCCCCTAGAAATCAATCAGCTAATCTGGTGTTTCCATATAGCTGCTGTTGCTTACAAGTGTGTTCACCCATCACCCAAAATAACTATAAAAATAAAGAAAAAACACCAAATCATCCTAGTGAGCACTGCTTGTGCTCACTGGGAACACAATGCTTCACTTTGAAGAGAAAAAAGAGGGAAGGGGAAGGGAAATTGGAATGGAATGACTGGAACCATGAACATAACTATTTTATTCTGCAACATTTTGTCACAGGGTCCCATTTTTTCTTCTTATTTGTTAGAATATTAGTATGCTTTACCGTTCCAGTGGGCCTGTAATGTTTAATAGTATTGTACATACTCAGGCTGAGTATTACCAATATTATCAACTTCTTTCAAAGCTGATTCTCAGTCAGGAAGACATAACTACTATTTTGAGGACCCTGAATGAAAATTTAGGAGATAGTTCTGACCCTCCACCTCCTGAACCACAAAAAAAAGATGTTCTAAGCATCCATAGTGGAGCTGCAAGTGTCTCCCAGCATTCTGGAGGTATGTTCTAACAGCTTAAACTACAGTACAATTATATATTTCCACTGGAAAAAATTAAATAGCTGTCTAAACTATTACTTTAAAAGTATATATAAGTATTTCAAATGGAATTAAGATTTTGTGTGAGGAAGATACATGTAAATAACTAGGTAACATATGTATGTGCAATGTTTGGGCTTTTCTGCATGGTTTTGCTATATATATTCCATGTAATTATGGTCAGGGCTTTTTGTAGACTGGAAGATTCTGTAAATATGTGGGAGACCTGCAAATGTTTACTGTATCTGGAAAAAATGTATTTCACCTTTAATATAACAAAGCTTAGTCCTACTTGTGTTGAATAGCAATTTTGAAATTCATTATTACTGTGCTTTGTAGTGATCAAAACTTTCCTTTTAATGTAGAAAATAACCTCAAGAATTGTACTTTAGATATGTAGTTTAATCCAAATATTTCTCAACCTATATTTAAAAAAGCTTTGCTGAATGCCCACTTGTTTTTTTGTCTCACAGACTTCACAGCTCTGGGCCTGGCAAGTTGCTTGCTCTGAAGAAAGTACTTAATGACAAAACTAAATTAAATTTATCTAAGGAAAGATAGTTGTTTTCAAATGCAATACATTAGAAACTGTATAACTTTCCTGTTTAATTCTTGTGTGTTTAATAATGATGACTTTAATTGTTAAAGCTGGAGTAACAGTGGTGACTGCTGCTGTGGTGGAAATGCATCCCTCTGTTAAGGTTAAAACAACACTAAAATTGGACTTCCAGTTTGATTCCCTGACTCTAGTGTTGTACAGTCCAAATTCCAACCAGGTAAAATGTTAATTACTATGAAATCCCAATATGTTTATTTCTCTTGAATCTGGGGTCAAACTTAGTGTGGTACATTCGTATGGCATTATAGGTAATCGGACAATGGAAGAAGCCAGACCTTGTGGGAATAATAGCATTGTAAAACAATCTGGTAAAGTGGTGACTACATGGTAGCCAGTGAAGATCTAGGATTTTATTCCACTATTCACTTGGAATGGCCAAGTGACATTCTTATTATGAGAAAAGATGTTCTGTTCTTTTAGGGTTTAAAAGAACCAATTCCACCATATTCTTATGAGACATTATAAGCTAGTTTTTTGTACTAATGAGTAAGTTCCTTCCATTCTAGATTCTTTAGAAGGTTTTCTAATCAAGTTCAGAATTCAGTAACAGTAATAAACATGTGTGCATTGCAAGACCATTTAATTTAATTCTAATTTAAACTGTGCCTTTTCTTTTCAAAACAGCCTCTAGTTCAGGATGAACGAGATGATCATCTGAAGCTTGCAGAATTTAAATTGTTGTTAATATCAACTGCTGTCAAAATGTTGTCAGATGGATCAATGAATGCTTCGGTCCGGTTAACAAACTGCACTTTAGATGATAAACGACAGACAGTCCAGAATGCTACACCAAGGTGGTTATTTCTTTCAAAAAGAGAACACTGAAAATTTGGTTAAGAGGAACCATGTTACTCCTGTCAGTGCCATTAGGTTTAGTTGTGAATACTGAACATGATTAAGAGTCAAACATATGTACATGAGTTTACTTATGCTTTCATAATAGTAGAGTATGGGGTTATTCCCATGAAGTCAAATGGTGGGAGATGTTGGAAAAAGAACAAGAACTATTTCACACAACTAATAGTTAAACTACAGAGTTGGCAGCCACAGATAGAATCATGGCTGCCAGCTTGAATAATTCTAGCAGATTAGACAAATTCATAGAGGTTGGTGCTATCATTGATTACTGCTCATGATGATTACATATGGTTCTATTTAATACGTCCAGTATTAAAGGCAGTGTGCTTCTGATTGCCAGTTGGTGGGGAACACTAATGGTGGTGCTGTTGCACACGTGTCCTGCTTGTGGGTTTCCCATAGCCATCTTTTGGCCACTGTGCAAATAGAATACTGGACTGGATAGGACCTCGGTTTCATCCAGGATGGCTCATCTTACGTTCTTCATGTGTATTTAGAACTTTCTTTGCATTGTAATTATTATACTACAATATAGATATATATATATTTCTTCTCCTCATCCTTCCCAGTCTCCTTTATTTGCCATACATGGTCCTTTCTTTTGTCCCCCTTCCTATCACCCTCTCTTGCAGAAACTTTCAGATTCCACAGTGAGGTAATATGACCTTTTTACTAATATTTTAAAATGTGATTTAATATACTTAATAAAATGTTAGTATCATTGGTAAATGTAAGCTTTCAATGTCCTGTCAATATAATTTCCAGTAAACAGTAGCATAACAGCATTGTTAGCTATGTTTCCCATCTTTCCTTATTAGTAGCATCTGAATACTTTTGGTTGGTTGTTAAATATGAGAAATTCCATCATTTTTATTTACTCAATCTATTATATAGATTATAATGAATAATCTAATATATTATTCATCTATTCATATAATAGATTAAAAGAATAATGTGAAAGTCCACCATTTATTTTGTAATAAATGTACCAGACTTTGCACTGAGTTAAGTTGGCCTAATGAAGTAGAGCGTGGGGGCATGCATCTGAGCATATCCAGTCATGGAAACAAATGATGTTTCCAGTTAGGGCTGGGACAGTAGTACAACATCCTGAGGACTAGTGGTGCACAGAATTGAAAACAGTCATTTCACAGAAGTGTCATAGGCCTCCTGCCTGTCTTCAGGCTTCTACTACTTTTCTACCTCAGATTTCTTGCTGGTAGTACATACTGCCATTTTGGAATGTACTGTATCAACCAGCAGAGAGGAATTGGATCCACGAATCATGTGGGAATATTGCATTCTTCATAACATATACTTGTGGCAGACCTGACTGGTGTGCTTGTTGTACAGTGCACAGTAAACTTATTAATGTAGTTTCAGCAGCAAGTATTTTCATTTAATTTCACATGGTTGGACTTTTTGTCATTCTCTTGTCATATGTAATATGTTCAGCAGCAGAGCAGGATGGATAAGGGGGTCTATTTTTCCTGTTCTCTTCCTTCTTTTGATATCAAGAGCTATATGCAAAATCTCACTTGGTTTGTAAATGTCAAGAGTAGGTTGTTGGGGAAAAAAGTTGTCAAGAGGAACAGGAAATCACATGTTGTAAAGTTATTCTGAAAATGTGATTGCAGAGGTGGGTTGCTGCAAGAGTCTGGGAGCTGTTTTTGCCCATTGGACTGCTCCATGTAGGGTGAAGTCTGGTGGGGATTTAGAAAAAAATAGGCACTTTGCTGCCAGAATTTAGTGGCAAACAGTTCCATGATGTTTTGCCAACTGTTTTGTCAGTTAAATTCAGCTTGTTCTGGAGCTAAATATGATTCTTTGCTTATAAAGGCCACAAAATACTAAAATTGTGAAGCCCAGTTTGAGGCTTTTAACACTAAAGCACCAGATTTTGTGTACAGGGAATCCCCTCCCACACACACACACACATTATGTGTTGCCCACCCCTGATTTATGAGATGGTTGGTATAATTGAGAGCAGAGGGGTAAGTTTGATAAAGTTTCTACCAAGTCTTGAATTGCAACTTTTAATGCAATCTGTTGACTAATAAGATATCAAAGAATATATATTTTTAATTAATTGATTTCTATACCACTTAATAGCTGGAGCTTTCTGGATGGTCCACAACAGCACATTAAAATACCATAAAAAGACACCATATTAAAACAGATTGATATAGTAACTTGAAGAAAATCTTAAGATCTGTTTAACAGCTAGCAGTTGCATCCCTTACAGTAGAGGATAGCCTTTACCTGGCACCAACAAGATGGTAAAGTTGGAAAAATATAAGCTCAGAGTTTTAAAGACTGCTTATTTATTTATTTATTTATTTATTTATTTATTTGGGATTCTTATATGCCGCCCCATTCGCATATATTAAGTGATATATAAGCTTAATATATAAGCTTATATTATCAAATCATTTAGTTATTACTTTATTGCTTGTCAAATTATCAAATAGCTTCTTTTAAACACTATTAGGGAATGTATTGTTTTTCAAATAACATTTATTTTACTAACTTGTCTTTCAGAATGATAGAAATGAAGCATGGATCTGAAAAGAAAGTCATGGTGGATATAAGTTATAAGCGAGGGAGAGATGGCTCCACTGTTCTTGACACAGTTGTTCAGGAGATATATCTCTGTGCTAGCATAGAGTTTCTGCTTACTGTTGCAGATGTATTTCTAAAAGCTACTGCAGAAAGTGCTGCTGCAGAGAGAAACTTCAAGCAGTCTTTATCTGTAAAAGAACAAGGTCAGTAACTGATAATAAATTGGCAGAGCATAGTCAATAACTCACACTACATTATATAGCTGTAGCTTTTCTTTTCAGTCTGCATGCAGCACTTTATATCTTATGATTTTTCCTTCAACAGCAGTTTCATGATATAATTTAATTATATGTTAAACTTTAATGAAATACTGTTACATGATACCCTGAACACCCTATAATGGTCAGTATATATCGATGGAGAAAAACTTAACTTGGGAAACAATGCTATAAATTAAGATAATTTAAATCAAACTTATTATGTTTCTTCTAAGTTATTTTGCTTCATTTAGACTACTATTAAATATTCTCTTGAATCTGCAATATTTGATCTGACAAGTTCAGAGATTGGACCAATGCAACACTGGGAAACTGTATTAAAGGAGAGAATAATGTTTACATATACTATTAAAGTAATAGGTCATAGGATTTGGGCTTTTTGAGAGAGCATTTTCAGCTAGTAAGTCTGTAATGCTTGGAAAATGAATTTAATGAGAATTATGAATTATTGTACTTATGAACAATTTTACTAAAAGTATTGGTTGTCTGTCAAGAAGTTAGCTGCAAATTTTTGTGAGGTATTATTTTAAAGATAATCTTATGCCCATGGAAATAAGCAGATGTGGTGTACCATTTGCTGGGGAATATGGGCAGGAGATCGCCATTTCAGTCATGTCCTGCAATATGGATTGGCCACTGTATAAACAGAACACTGGACTAGATGGACTCTTGGCTAGATCTTGTGTGGCTCTTAAGTGTCAACAAGCACATTTAAAAAAAATAAACTTGCAACTGAGTAAAAAAATGTTCAAAATAAACCTAAAGTAGGAATAAAAACCCTCAGTTGCAGAAACAGGAGTGATTTGTGAGCCACCCCAGGCTTCGGCGAATGGGGCGGCATAGAAATGTTTTAAATAAATAAATTTATAGACCTAAACAATTAGAAAGAGCTAAGGATAATAAGCTGCAATGAACTTAATTTGTATTTCAAATAGTATGTTTTTATTCATCTTTACAAAACCTGCAACAGTAACAGCAATGCCATTGGACAGTGTTTGAGGATTCCAAACACTCAATCCATCGACAAAGCTATGACTTTGGGAATAGGAATCCGAGTATGAATTGTTCTTTGTCATGGCCTCTGTGCATCACACATATGGGTTCTGCGCCTGCGCAGTGCCTTTGGCCAGAAGATTAACAGCTAACGGTTTTTGGCGGGCACTCCGCTCCCCCTCCCCCCTAGCATTATATAAAGAGCACTCTGGAGTGTCTGCCATTTTCCAGTCTTTGTGACCGCCGTTCATTGTGCGTTGTGCCGCTTCGCTCTCGCTTAGATCATTACTTACCTCTCACTCGTTGAAAAACTTCTCTTTTCCTTACCAAGTTAGTATTCCCTCGTTCCTGTTATTGTTAGTATTTCACTTCTTAACTTTTCACCATTTTTTCTCTCTCTCGTTCCTAAAAAAAAGCCAAACCAAAACTATTACTTTCCCGCTTTACTGTCTCCTTTTTCTTCTATTTCTACGATGGCACAACGGGCGGTGTTCCGCAAGTGCGGGAAGTGCGGCTCCAAAATGCCCGCCGCAGACCCGCATGACCTGTGCCTCCTTTGTTTGGGGGAAGGGCACAGGACCGTTAAGTGCGACCATTGTTTGGCCTTCTCCAAACAGGCGAGGAAGAACCAGGAGAACCACCTCAGCAAACTTTTGTGGGACCAGGCTCTCCTCCAATTGGACTGGCTGGTGGCTAAGTCTCCCACTACTGTGGCCCCACCTGAAGGCCGTCCAACTTTGGCCGACCTGCCACAACGCCCGGCCTTTTCCTCCATTACTCCGCCCTCACACCCTTCTGAAGAAGGTGCTCATACCATGGCTGATCAACCCGTTTTCCTGCCAAGGAAACAAAAGGAGAAGAGAAAGCACAGCGATCTGGACAAACATCCTGTGCATAAGAAGGCCAAAAAAGATAAGGTGGGCAAGCCGGTTAAAAAGCCGAGGAATCCCGAGCACGCAAAACATCGCCACTTGGATTCGGCGACTTCCTCGATCCCGACCCCCGCCACGGAACCGACCCTCTCAGTCCCGACCATTCAGGCGGCTATGAGGGTTACCCCGCTGGGCTCACCGCGCTGAATGGCAGCCGAACATACTCTGGATTCATGGCATGGTTCCATCTCAGATGGGGAAAAAAGAGATTCTCCACCGAGAGCTCAATCACCAACGCCAATGCCACCGGTCCTGCTGGATACTGAGATCGTCATCTCTCCCCCGAGAAGCCACAGGAGCCGTTCCTCAGATGCTAGATCCGATGACTGGTACCATTCCAGATACTGCTTCGCTCCGAGACGGGAAGAGTACCAATCCATGGCCTATTACCCGGTTTCCGGACATCTTCACTGCCAGCTCCTCGGGATCGCTTCCATTCAACGCCCAGAGTCACCCCGAGGGCTCCATCTAAAGAAAGTGGCAGATCAGAGTCACCAGGAGATTCTTCCTCCAGTGCACCACCCCCCTACTGGATGGAATCTGATGAGTCTGAGGCTGACTCGACCTCGCCGGATGCAGCGGTTACTTCACAGGGCCCGGGGTCACCTGAAGAACCGTACATCTCGTTCAATGAATTCATGGCCAGGCTAGTGAGGTCACTCGATATCGAAGCCCACCAACAACCGGGACCGAGCACTGACCGTTTTTATGATGTGGTCAGGGGCAAACGATCCACATCTATTGCCTTGTCATTCATTACGACCTTATGGCAGGCAATGACCCAGACATGGGACCTCCCGGCTCACCCACAACCGACTTCATGTAAATACGAGTCTACGGGTTTGGGCGGAAGACATCCCGTTCCTCCTCCGTCACCCCAAGCCGAACTCGGTTGTTGTGGAATCCTCCCAGGGCCGGGAAGCATGTGGACACACCTCGCCTCGCGATAAAGAGGGAAGAAGAATTGACTCCCTCGCCCGCCGGGTATACGCAGCTTCGGGCCTTGGATTACGAATTTTTAATTATGAGGTAACCCTGGCACGCTATCAATATTTTCTTATGCAACGCCTAGACGCCATCATTGACACCTTCCCAGGAAACCAGGGCGAACTTGCAAAAACCTTTGTTAAGGAAGCTATGCAGGTGGCGGTGCAACAGTTCTCCACAGCGAGGCACCACGTTGATTCTGATTCGAGGTCGCTTGTCAGTGCCATTTCCCTCCACAGACACGCCTGGTTGTGTAATTGCAATTTTCCGGACAAAATGAAGTGGAGGATTGAGGAGATGCCGTTCGACGGATTCGGTCTCTTCAACGCGAAGACGGATAGCAAACTGAAGAAAATCCACGAATCCAGAATGATGGCCCGTCGTGTGGAACTGCAATCCCTGCCTTGACAAGTGGTCATGGTCACGCCCGCAATACCGCCAACCATTTCAGCCTCGGCAACAACAACCACATCAACGCCAGCAACGCCACAGACAACAACCATCCCAGTGCTTTCAGCAGGGCCGCCGTCGCTTTGACACGGACAGGCGACAGCGCTGATGCGACGAGCGAGCCTCTCCCCTCCTCCCAACTTCACCCCCCCCCTCTCATTTGGGGACCGGCTGAAAAGTCGGCTCCCCACTTGGGAGTCCATCACATCTGATGGGTGTGTGTTATCCATCATCTGGCATGGCTATGGAATTGTATTCGATGTTGTTCCATCACCGAATCCTATCCGTTTTACACCGACCTCATTGGTACTGTTGGACGAGATTCACCAACTCCTTACTAAAGGAGCTGTTCGTCGCTTATCGTTATCAGAGGGACTCCACGGATTCTATTCCAGATATTTTACGGTCCCGAAACAAGATGGGGGTCTCAGACCCATATTGGACTTGAGAGCTCTCAATAGATTCATAACACCAAAGAAGTTTCGGATGACCACACTCCAAAATATACTTCCGTTGCTGGGAAGAGGGGATTGGTTCGCCTCACTGGATTTGAAGGATGCCTATTTTCATATTTCAATACATCCAAGTTATAGGCGCTTCCTTCCTTTTGTGGTGGACTCTGAAATCTACGAATTCAAGGTATTACCATTTGGATTGGCCACTGCACCAAGGGTTTTTACCAAGTGTATGGCTCCTGTCTGCACACACCTTCGTTTACGTGGAATTCGGATATACCCGTACCTTGATGATTGGTTGTTGGTTTCCGACACAAAAGCAGGACTTTCATCTGCTGTTGAGATTACGTGTGCTGTATTACAAGACCTCGGACTCTGTATTAATCAACAGAAGTCTTCTCTTCTCCCTACACAGACAATCAACTTTATCGGAGCCCGGCTGTATTCGACGTTGGCAAGAGCTTTTATTCCTCAAGACAGACATCATGCTATTGCTCGGTGCATCTCTCGGATCCGATAAGAAAGAACTGTCCCCGCCTGGTCTATCCAGAGCCTGTTGGGACACATGTCCACATCCATCGCCGTGGTTCCGCATGCCAAACTCAGACTAGGCCCTCTCCAGCTGTTCTTCAACGGGATGTTCCGACCACAGACAGATCCACCCACCAAACGGATTCAACTTCCGGTCTCCATTCTTCAGTCCCTGTTATGGTGGATAGAACCAGCCAATTTAAATGTCGGTGTCCCGTTTCGACCTCGGTACCGTACAGTGACCCTCAGTACCGACGCGTCTCTGCTGGGATGGGGAGCCATTTGCTCCGATCTACGTACCCAGGGGGTATGGAGTCACCGGGATTCCAGGAACCATATCAACTTCCTGGAATTCCTTGCTGTTTTCAAAGCCCTGCAATTGTTCGAGGACGTGCTTCTCCACCAGGTCGTCCAGGTGACCTCGGACAACATGGCTACGGTCTTTTATTTGAACAAACAAGGGGGAATCCGGTCCCAGAAACTAGCCCGTCTATCCATGCAGATTTGGAACTGGTGCATACCGAGAGGTATCACTCTTCTAGCAGTTCATCTTGCGGGCACGGACAATATAGACACAGATCTCTTGAGCAGACATATGTTGCGGTCACACTAATGGGAACTAGACCGTTGGGTTCGCGACAGACTGTTTCACTGCTGGGGTCAGCCAGACATAGATCTGTTTGCCACACAACAAAACAGGGTATGCACGAACTATTGTTCCAGAGCGGGGATAGGACAGGGGTAGTCTGGGGACGCTTTCATGATCCCCTGGAACGACATGACTTTTTATGCTTTCCCACCGATTCCCCTCATCATGAGAGTGTTGCCAAAGATCATTCACGAAGAGGCCACAGGGCTACTAATTACCCCCTGGTGGCCATGCCAGCCATGGTTCTCAACTCTCCTTCACATCTCTCGGGAGGATTTTCTCCAACTCCCTCTTCTTCCTTATCTCATTACCCAGAGGGAGGGCACGATCTGACACCCGGACTTGTTGTCGCTGAAACTGACTGCATGGAGGATCCGATAACCGTATGCGATGCACTGGTGTCGACGCCACCGGCAATCCCTACTACCTCTACTCCACAGATTTTACATCCAGATCTGCGATATATTCTCGAATCTGCATTATGGCCATCCACTAGAAAATCGTATGCAGCAAAATGGCATAGATTCTCTAGCTTGCCGAATCACACTCGTTTCCAGTGTCCTCGGCTTCTGTTCAACAGATTCTTCAATTCCTCTTTGAATTGCATCAGTCTGGACTTAAACTTTCTTCCATAAAAGTATATACAGCAGCGATTTCTCATTACCGTGGAACGGTACACGGTTTCTCCATTTTTTCTCAACCTTTGATTAAAAGATTTTTGAGAGGATTGAGTAACCTCCATCCAACAATAAGGCCCCTGATGCCCACTTGGAGTCTTTCAGTGGTTTTACAAGCACTGACTCGACCACCTTTTGAACCCATGGCGACGATCGATCTACGCCTTGTCACATGGAAGACTGCTTTCCTTGTTGCAGTTACTTCAGCCCGTAGATCTTCTGAACTCTGTGCCCTTAGGGTAGACCCCCCTTTTCTGAATTTTCATAAGGAAAAGGTAGGTCTACGGCTAGATCCATCTTTTCTTCTGAAAATCGCTACTTCATTTCACATGCAGCAAGAGATCGTTTTACCAGCCTTCTTTCCAACACCTTCGAATCCGATAGAGAGATCTCTGCATATGCTGGACGTTCGTTGTTGCTTATCCTTTTATAGGTCCAGGACTGAGTCTATTCGACACTCCAATAGACTTTTTGTGAAATACTTGGAACATGACCAAGGCTATCCGGTCACTTCCCAATGACTTTCTAAATGGATAGTGAATACAATTGTTCTGTCTTACCAGTTAGCTAAATTGGACTTACCATCTACTCCAAGAGGTCATTCTACAAGAGCTGTTGCTGCTTCTTCGGCCTTTTCATCAGGGGTCCCGATAGAAGACGTATGCAGAGCGGCCACTTGGGCTACCCTGTGTACCTTCGCCAGACACTATAGGCTCGATGTCCATGCCAGACAAGATTGCTCTTTTGGCAGAGCTGTTCTTTCTTCTGTCCTTCGTTGATGACACCTCCCTCCTCCAGTTGGGGTAAGCTTGTTATTCTACCCATATGTGTGATGCACAGAGGCCACAACGAAGAAGAGCAGGTTGCTTACCTGTAACTGATGTTCTTCGAGTGGCCATCTGTGCAGTCACACAATCCACCCTCCGACCCCGCTTGGTGTCATGGGTGGTCCGACTTTCTTCTCTTCGATGCTAGGATCTCTTTAGATATTTGTCGTACCACCAAAATTTTGGTTCTCTTGTCATGATGACAAAAAATTTATTAAGGGAGCAAACGTCAGTCTTTCAAAGACTGGAAAATGGCGGACACTCCACTCCTTATATAATGCTAGGGGGGAGGGGGAGCGGAGTTCCCGCCAAAAACCGTTAGCTGTTAATCTTCCAGCCAGAGGCACTGCTCAGGCGCAGAACCCATGTGTGTGACTGCACAGATGGCCACTCGAAGAACATCAGTGCATGTGATACTCCAGGTTTCCCAACCATTTTCATTCCCTGTTCTCTGGCATACAGGTGGAATTGTCCATGGCTGCTGTGATGGAGGCATGAACTTTCTGAAAATAAAAATTATGCTTTCTCCTTCTAAATACATTATTCATATGCAGATCAGGGTGGTTTTAATCAATTTATTTTATTATATAACATTTATGTATCACATTTCTTCCTTTTGGAACCCATGTTGGTTTACAAGATTCTCCTTTTAATTTTTTCATCACAACAACCTTGTGAGATAGGTTTCATGGCTGAGTGAGGACTAGAACGCAGATCTCCTGATTCCTAGTCTTGAGCTCTTAACCACTACACAAAACTGGCTCTGAAGATGTGTACCATTAATGAACTGAAGTCTCCAAAAGTAGCTCATAAAATAATATGAGAGAACAATAACAACCCGAAACTAGTATATGCTGTCAGCAGCAAGACACAATTCCAAAGGCAGTGGTAAAATTCTTATAGAAAGTAACTCTGTTCAAGGATAGGCTAGACATGCCCATGGTGGGTATGTTGTGAGTAGAGCCGGCTGGAGCCAGGGGTCAGACTAGATGGCCTGGGAGACCCCTTCTGACTCGCTCTGTTTATATGTTTCTATGTTTCTAACTTACCGGCCTCCTAATGCAATAATTATATATGGCAGGTCTCTCTCCGCTGTAGGGAATGCCTGTGTTTCTTGCGCATTGCAGAGTTGCCTTGGCTAGTAAAGTTATACAGAACAAGACCTTAGGGCAGTGGTGGTGAACCTATGGCACACATGCCACAGCGGGCACGCAGAGCCCTCTCTGTCGGCACGTGAACAAGTCGCCCCAGCATAACCCCAGCAGCTGAGCATAGGATAACAGTGCACATAGGAGCCATGTGCAGGCTTGGAAAGGAGTAGCGGCACCAGGTGATGATGTCACAAGCCGCAACTCATTAGCCGGAAGTCATCTGAGCTTTTGCATGGCCAGTCAGTGCGCTGCCAGGGATATATATATATTTCCTAGGACTGGCTGGGAGGTGTTTTTTCTAAACTAAAACCGGTTTTCAGGTTTTATTGTGTTTAGAATGGGCAGAAATGATGAGCAGTCCAGAAAAAGCTACTCAAGGAAGGCTTTTTCAGAGTTGCCCTCTTTTCAATGGTATTTTAGCCCTATATTAGGTTTAGGGGAGTCCACCAGGGTAGGGTTAGGGTTAAAAGAATGAGGTGTCCTTGCATGATTTTGATGGTTGGAATGTGTTTAAAATGGGCGGAAATGATGAGCAGTCCCGAAAAAGCTACTCAAGGAAGGCTTTTTCAAAATCTCCCTCTTTTCTATCGAACTTTCATCCTATACAGTGGTACCTTGGCTCACAAACATCTTGGTACATAACAAAATCAGGGCGTGAACAAAATTTTCATAAAAATTTTGACTCAGGCTGCAAACTCCGCATTGGGTGGCGATCATGGCCATCTCTCCATCCTCCCAAGTGGGGATATGGCCGCGATTGTACTGGGGTTGGGGAGGGAGATGGCCGAGATCGTGCCTGTCTTTCCTGCACGAGTGTGCCCGCAATCCCGGCCATCTCCACCCCTCCAGCATGATCATACCCGTTTCTTCCTCCAGTGTGCCTGCGATGGCGCCCGTCCCTCCCCCCCTCCAGCGGCCAGGATGACGGGTGCATGCAGGGATAACTGGCGCAATTGGGGTCATGCTGGGAGTGCAGGGAGATGGCCATGCTCGTGCTCGGGGTGTGTGTGCGGGGGGAGATGGCCGTGATCTTCGTTCTTTGTCACTTTGCTTCACAATTTTTTGATTAAAAAAAAAATAGTTACAGAGCGGATTAACCTTATTTACATTGAACCTTATGGGGAAATTTAACTTGGCTCATGACGAATTTGGGTCACGACCAAAGTCCTGGAACAGATTAAGTTCGTGAGCCAAGCCACTGTATTAGGGTTAGGAGTGTGCACCATGGCAGGGTTAGGGTTAGGAAAACATGGTGTCCTGGCATGATTTTGATAGTTGTAATGTATTTAGAATGGGCAGAAATGATCTGTGAAGAAAAAGCTACTCAAGGAAAGCTTTTTCAAAATCACCCTCTTTTCAATGGAACTTTTGCCCTGTATTTTGGTTAGGGGTGTGCAGAAGGGTAGGGTTACGTTTGAAAAATGAGGTGTCCTGGCATGATTTTGATGGTTGAAATGTGTTTTGAATGGGCAGAAATGATGAGCAGCGCAGAAAAAGCTATTCAGGAATGACTTTTTCAGAATCGCCCTCTCTGTTGGCATGCGAGCCAAGTTGCCCCAACATTGCCCCAGCAGCCAAGCATCAGGTAACAGTGCACATAGGGGCCATGCGAATGCTCAGAAAGAAGTAGCGTCACCAGGCAATGACATCATGAGCCGTGACTCATTAGCCACAACTCGTTCGAGCTTTTGCTGCCAGGGATATATATATCCTTGCTTGGACTGGCTGTGAGTTGTTTTTTCTAAACTAAAATTGCCGTTTTCACGTTTTATTGTAGTGTTGGCACTTTGTGATAAAAAAAGTGGGTTTTGGGTTGCCGTTTGGGCACTCGGTCTCTAAAAGGTTCGCCATCACTGCCTTAGGGGAACACCTTAATGCAGCAAGAACTTGGGACAAGCTACTTATTCACTTAGTGAAAAGGTGTTTCAGCACCCAATTTCTGTCTTTCCTTGGTTATTTCACCATGGTAGTAATGAGTTACTTACTTTGAAAATGCTGAAATGTATCCACATTATACTGATATCTTGCATACAAAAATGAGACTAATTGTACATAAAATACTTAATGACTATGAATACATGTTTAGTTCCTGTACAGTCGGAATCCACAATGGAAATAAACGTCGTCGTTAAAAATCCTGAGATTGTGTTTGTGGCCGATTTAACAAGAAGTGATGCTCCTGCACTAGTGGCTACAGCACAGTTTGAAGTATCCATGAAGAATGGCCCTGAAATGAATAAAATGACAGCTGCTGTGAAAGCTATAAAAGTGAAAGCCTGCCCATTTTTTCCAGATATGAGAAAAGGCAATATTACAACGGTAAGATTTTAAGAGTTAAACTGGAAGTTAATTTCTGCATATTGCCATGCAATTCCAAATAAACTAGTAGGTCAGGATGAAAGCTATCCTAATGCTGCTTTAACTGCCTTTGTTCTGCATTTGATGATCATGAATCTCCAAGTTTAAGGATTTACAGCCATTGTCATAGACTTGTGCTCTTAGAGGCCCTAAGTAATTTAAAGTAGACACATTTAATTCAGTCGGCTTTAAGTTACTCATAACTTACTGCATTCCTATTTCAGTAGGTCTATTCTGGCTATGACTGTCTGGATCTAACCCATTATGTTTAATTGAATGTAATTAAGGTGGCATTATATTGTAGTTGAGATGGACCTATACGTTCTCATCCACACTGTACAGTGCTGATAAGAATTTGCATTTATTTGCTGTGGATCTGCATCTTCATCACTGACAATGAGTTTGACCATAGGAACTCTGTATACAAACCTTACTGTTGTTGGCTATAACTTTCAGGCCAGGGAATTTGTTGCATATATGGATTTTGCTTCGTGGTCAATGTTCATAGATAACTCAAAGAAGTGTGTAAAACATTTTACTAATTAGGAAGCTTTCATTTGAAACTACTACCATTTTGCATAGGTCAGTTAGTATGCTTTTCACAGTTAATATAGAAGGATTTTTAATAGACAGATTAATAGTTATATTCAATTGATTATGTTTTGTATCTAGGTACTACAGCCCTGTGACCTTGTCTTTGATATGATGCAGTCAGGTGAAGATCCTCAGAAAGCAGATCTGTCAATCAAATCTATAACAATTAAGGTATATTACACATTTGTAGGTCTTTATTAGGTTAAGGAATACATGTGGTTATATTTTTAGTTGTATGGTTTCTTTTCATTGAGCTACTTTATTTTTACAATGAAGAACCCCAAGACTAAGAATTCACCTGGACAATTTGCTCCTCTGTACTTTGCGAGACAGTGTTAATGGCAAGATGCAAGGGGGCTTTCATTCATTTTCACATATGCTCATAGCCATTTTAACACATGCCCATTTGCACATCTACACTCTTACATGCATTCATTCTCACATATGTAGGACATGTGCGCATTCTCTTATACCCAGACATAAAGCACTTCCTGCATGTATCTTCCCCATTCTCTCCCTCTCCCCCTCCCTCCCTCCCTCTGTATGTGTGTGTCATAAACACCAATTTCATAGAAAATCAATGATTGATTGACTGATACATCATTCTACCAAGTAAATGATATTCAAGGCAGGTTACAATAATAGGAATTTAAAATCTTTTCTAAATATAAAATTGATTATAACAATAATAAAACGAGCACAAAATTAAATAAATTGATTATTATTACATTGCAAGTCCATTATATTACCTTGCATTACAATAACAGAATAAAAACAAGACTCAATCCAACAGACCAGTTTATATTCCAAATGCCTCTTTGAAAATGCTTATCTTTCCCTGCTAGCAGAAGAACAATAAAGAGTCATCTTAGCTTCCACAAGCTGGGAGCAACCACTGAGAAGGCCTTTTCTCATGCCACTACCAATGCATCTCTGAAGGGGGCAATGACAAAAGAAGGTCCTTTGCCAAAAATCTGACAACTCATGAAGGTGGTCTTTCAGATATCCTCAAGCCAAACTCTGTCCTGAAACAGGCTGGCATCACTGAAGCTGTTGGAGTTGTATGTTCCCTATAACCAGCCTTTGTCAACAGTCTGGCTGCCATATTCTGGACAAGCTGAAGCTTTCAAAGGCAGCCCCATGTGTCCTCTCATAGACAGGCAGAGAAATAGGCTTTACTTTTACATATATACTCAGTCTATTTCCTGCAGTGTTTGTCAAAAACTAAATTCATTGGAGGGCATTCTCCTGGTGGTTCCACACAGACCCACAGTGACTGGAAGTACCCCAGGAGAAGAGTAGCAATGTAGCGGCTCTATTGCTAGGGAACTCCCTACCTCTAGTGGTCACTGTGTTGCTTTTGGAAGTTGTTGAGGACATTTTTTTCCAGAAAGCCTTTCTTGCTGATGAATCATTGTTTTTATGTTTTTCGTATATTCTTTTTAATTTATTTTATCTTTTTATTGTTCACTACTCAGAATCTGCCTGGATCTGGGGCAGTATACAATACTGTGAATACATAATCCTATGCAGCAAGTTCTTCCTTCACTGTTTTATTAGAAATGCATAATTTTCAATTGAGAGTAATCTTTTTTAAAAGCTCAGGTGTCACCACTTATGAGAGATATTCTTTTTGCTTTTTTTAAAATTCAGGTGTCACCTATTATCATCAATACAGTCTTAACCATTACATCAGCACTTTTCCCAACTCAAGAGACCACAGAAAAAGACATTAGCCCTGTACCTCCAGATCTTTGGGATAAGAAGAATATTAAAGAGCTAAATATGTGGTTTCTTGAAGAGTCAAATGAAAATAAGGATTCTGCTTCTGTAACTGAGTTGATTCCTACAGGAGAAACACTGCAAATGAGAATTGAAACGGTTATTATAACTCTCGAAGCTGGGGTTGGTCACAAAACAGTGCCAATGCTTTTAGCAAAGTCTTCATTTTCTGGAGAAGTTAAAAATTGGAGCAGTCTGATCAATCTCTCTTCTCGTCTTGAACTAGAGGTATGTAGATTACAGTGCTGTTACTGTGAAGGAATAGAGTAGACATTTATTGGTGCTTCATAAATTATGGCTGGTGTTAATTGAAATGGTATTTTCATATTGGCTTCAATTACCTAACAATTTTGGAAAAAAACTTTTCTCCACATTTCAGTTTTGATAAAGTTTTCTGTTACCACCAGCTGACAACTAAATATTATTTGGTGTGAAACAGCATCCTGTAATGTTAAAGTCTCTCTGCCACCTAGGGAAGGCAGGGATTGTTTGGACAAGATGCCATAGAACGGGTGATCTCAGGTTCCTCCTCCTGTCTCATATTTGCCTTTCACCCAAGATGTTGCTGCTCTTGTTTTATTCCTTCTGCATTCAGGTCTTTAGCCATCTGTCACATTAATTATCTAGTATTTTATTGACATCAGTTGGCTCCTGAATAATTTATACTTCAGTGTTCAATAGCCTAACGGTATGTATCACATTGCAATGCATTTGGCATTTCCCCCCTAACTTCATTAAATGGTGTTCAGGGTAGCAAGGAAGATATGTATTCAAGCTTATCATAATTTATAGATCAAGTTTTATTGTGACATACTCGTACTCAAGGTTAACACTGCATTACATTAATCCTCCTTAAAAACTCAAGCAGGATCAAACTGAAATCAAAACCTGGAATGTAGAATGGTGTCCTGAATATGAACACCAGCTTTCATAAGTGGGATTTAATTAGGAAATATCATTAGGCATGGGCAAAGCTGCATAGCTTTGTAGAATGAACTTATGATATTTTAATGCCTTGGCATGGAATTAAAGCCAGTTGACGTACTCTGTAGGAGGTCTACTCATTTCCTTTATAGCTTCTTTAAAGGTGGTTCTTTGAGTCTGTTAAGTTTCTATTATAGTATGTTTGATGTTAGCTTAATATACAAAGGAAAGTCGGTCAACTTTACTAAAATAACCGTCATCCCTCAATTATTTTTTATTTTCATTACATCACCTAAATGGATTTAATTGTATTTTGAATTTTTAGGTACATTATTACAATGAGATGTTTGGTGTTTGGGAGCCATTACTTGAACCGCTGGAAGTTGAAAACACTGATGAATTCAGACCATGGGTTCTAGAATTGAAGGTATTTCTTACTTTTTATCTCTGGGTAAAATTCAAACCCCACAGCAGGAAAAGAACATGAAATTTGTAGCTGTATGTCCCCATTTCTGAACACAGCTCAGATTATTTCTAGCTCATCTAACGGGGAAATTTCAACTACTTTCAAGAACTAACTGTGTTTTAGGCTGGAAAAAGTGATGTTGAAAATTTGTTACCCCTTCCTAGTCTGTGGCCTTTGGCAGTCTTTAATCAGTTTTATTTAACTATGATACTGTATTGTTGGAGTTGCGGGTGGCACAGCTAAATCATTGAGCTGCTAGGCTGTTGATTAGAAGGTTGGCAGTTCAAATCCATGTGATGGGGTGAGTATCTGCTGCTTTGTCCTAGCTCTTGCCTACCTAGCAATTCGAAAGCATGCAAATGTGAGTAGATAAATAGGTACCACTTTGGTGGGAAAGATAACAGTGTTCCATGCACTTCGGCTTTTAGTCATGCTGGCCACATGACCACAGAAGTGTCTTTGGACAAAGCTGGCTCTTTGGCTTACAAATGGAGATGAGTACCAGCCCCAGGGCACCAGACATGACTAGCGCATATGAGCTTTGCCTTTACCTATTGTATCTAGCCTTTCCTTCAAATACAAGATTATTCTCAGCAACCTCCATTTTATCCTTGTAAAGACTCAGTACAGTAGGGTAGTGAGACCAGGGGCAGTTGGTTCAAGGTAACCCCGTGGACTTCATGGCTGAGTAGGGATTTGAAGCTAGGTTGTCTTGATCCTAGTCCAATACTGTAACCCTTGCATTCCATTCACTCTCTAACCTAAGTTGAAAAAATGGTTTAACTGTAGCTTGATTGGTGGTACTGATGTTGCCTAAGGCCCACATCACTTGCTGCGCCCCTACCATATTGAGTGTTGGTTGCAGCAAAAAACATTGGTGGCATTCTTCCTCGTGGCCTCTGTGCATCACACATATGGGTTCTGCGCCTGCGCAGTGCCTTTGGCCGCAAGATTGATAGCTAAGGGTTTCCTTTTCGGCGGGGACTCTGCTCCCCCTCCCCCCTAGCAGTATATAAGGAGCAGAGTGACCGCCATTTTCCAGTCTTTGCGACCGCCGTTCGCTGTGCCTAGTGCTGCTTCGCTCTCGCTAGGATTTATTACTTACCTCGTTCGAAAATCCTTGCCTTTTTTCTCTTATCAAATTGTATCCCTTGCTCTTGTTGTTAGTACTTCACTTATATTTCTTTTAACGTGCACTATTTTTTCTTTCTTCTTATCATTCCTAAATTAAAAAAAAAACAAGAATATTACTTTCCCGCTTTACTATCTTCTTTCTTTTCAAAATTTCTACGATGGCGCAACGGGCGACGTTCCGCAAATGCGGAAAATGCGGCTCGAAAATGCCCGCAGCGGGCATGATCTGTGCCTCCTTTGTTTAAGGGAGGGGCACAGAACCGATAAGTGCGGCCATTGTTTGGCCTTCTCAAAACAGGCGAGAAAAAACAGAGAGAACCGCCTTCGAAAACTCCTGTGGGACCAGGTTCTTCTCCAATCGGACCGCCGGGTGGCTAAGTCTTCCACTGTTGTGGCCCCACCCGAAGGCCTCCAACTTCGGCTGATTTACCGCAATGCCCGGCCTCCTCCATTGCTCCGCCTTCACGTTCCTCTCAGGAAGGCGCACATGCTATGGCCGACCAGCCTGTTTCCCTGCCGAGGAAACAAAAGGAGAGGAGAAAGCACAGTGATTCAGATAAACACCCTGTGCATAAGAAGGCCAAAAAGGACAAGATGAGCAAACAGACTAAAAAGCCGAGGAACCCTGAGCAGGCAAAACAACGCCATTCGGGCTCTTCCACGCAAGAACGGACAGTAAATTGAAGATCCATGAGTCTTGCATGACCGCTCGTCGTATGGAATTACGATCTTTACCTAGACGTAAGTGGTCATGGTCACACCCGCAATATCGTTCGCAATTTCCGCCTCGGCAACAACAACAGCAACAACGTCACCAGCGCCGCAGGCAACAACCGCCCCAACGCTTCCAACAGGGTCGCCGTAGATTCGATACGGACAGGCGACAGTGTTGATGTGACGAACGAACCGTTCCTCTCATCCCATTTTTACCCTTCCCCCTCTCATTTGGGGATCGACTGAAGAGTCGACTCTCCTTTCGGGAGTCAATTACATCTGATGGTTGGGTATTATCTATTATCCAGCACGGATATGGAATTGAATTCGACGTTGTACCATCTCCGAGTCCTATTCGATATACTACGCCTTCTTTGGTGCTGTTAGACGAGATTCAACAACTTCTCGTTAAGGGAACTATTCGTCGCCTCTCATTATCGGAAGGACTCCATGGATTTGATTCCAGATACTTTACGGTTCCGAAACGTGATGGAGGTCTTAGACCAATATTGGACTTGAGAGCTCTTAATAAATTCATAACACCAAAGAAGTTTCGGATGACCACGCTACACAGTATTCTTCCGTTGCTGGGAAGAGGGAATTGGTTCACTGCATTGGATCTAAAAGACGCTTATTTTCATATTTCAATACACCCAAGTTATAGGCGTTTCCTATGCTTTGCGGTGGACCATGCAGTTTATGAATTCAATGTTCTACCGTTTGGATTGGCCACGGCACCAAGGGCCTTCACGAAGTGTATGGCCCCTGTGTGTGCACACCTTCGGCTGTGCGGGATTCGAATCTACCCGTACCTTGACGATTGGTTGCTTGTTGCCGATACGGAAGCTGGACTTGCGTCTGCTACTGAACTTACATGCGCTCTGTTGCACGACCTTGGACTTTGCATTAATCAATGGAAATCTTCCCTTGTCCCTACGCAGGTGATCGACTTTATCGGAGCTCGACTGGATTCGACGTTGGCAAGAGCTTTCCTTCCTCGAGACAGACAATATGCGATTGCTCATTGCATTACTCGAATTCGGCAAGCAAGAACCGTTCCTGCCGATCTATTCAAACCCTTTTGGGGCACATGTCTGCTTCCATCGCTATGGTCCCTCATGCCAAGCTGTGACTACGTCCCCTTCAACTGTTTTTCAACAAACTGTTTCGGCCACAGATAGACCCTCCCACCAAACGAATTCGACTATCGGCTTCAGTTCTCCAATCCCTGCTATGGTGGATGGATCCAGCCAACTTAACCATCGGTGTTCCATTTCAACCTCGGTATCCTACAGTAACCCTCGGTACCGATGTGTCATTGCTGGGATGGGGGGCCATCTGCTCCAATCTAAGTACCCAAGGGAGATGGAGCCATCGGGATGGCAGGAATCATATCAATTTTCTGGAACTCCTTGCCGTTTTCAAAGCACTGCAAGCTTTCGAGGATCTGCTCCTCCATCAGATCGTTCAAGTGACCTCCGACAACGTGGCGACGGTCTTTTATTTAAACAAACAAGGAGGAACCCGATCCCGGAAGCTAGCCCGTCTCGCCATGCAGATTTGGGACTGGTGTATACCAAGGGGTATCACTATTCTAGCAGTTCACCTTGTGGGCACCGACAACACGGAAGCCGATCTCCTGAGCAGACACATGTCATGCTCCCACGAATGGGAGTTGGACCGTCGGGTTCAAAACATGTTATTTCACCGATGGGGTCGATCAGAAATCGACCTGTTTGCCACTCAAGGGAACAGAGTGTGCAGGACCTATTGCTCCAGAGCGGGAGTGGGTCAGAACTCCCTGGGCGACGCTTTCATGATTCCATGGACAGGCGTGATTTTTTATGCTTTTGCTGCATACGACTTTCTGGTAGATGGTCATAGTGCAGATTCAAGAATATACTGCAGATCCGGGTGCAGGCTCTGCTGGGCATGCATGGTCGGGATGGTGTCGATACCGATGTATCACCCCAGGTCACCATATCCGCCATGCAGTCAGTTTCAATGATAGCAAGTCTGGGTGACGAACTGTGCCTTCCTTCTGGGTGACTAGATAAGGGAGAAGAGGGAGTTGAAGAAAATCCTCCCTGGAAACTTGAAGGAGAGTTGGGAACCATGGTTGTCGTGGCCACCATGGAGTGATTAGTATTCCTGTAGCTCCTTCGTTAATGATCTTTGCAAGCACTCTCATGATAAGTGGGATCGGAGGGAAATGGAAAAGATTTTCTAACTTCGCCAATTTACACTCTTTTCTGGCCTCCTCAGCCTCCGTTTCACAGATACTTCAGTTCCTTTTTGAACTACATCAGTCTGGACTCAAACCTTCACCTATAAAGGTTTATACAGCAGCTCTCTCCCACTACAGAGGAGCTGTACATGGGTTTTTTCCCTCTAATAAAAAGATTTTTGAGAGGCTTAAGTAATCTGAATCCCACTGTAAAACCCCTAATGCCTACATGGAGTCTCTCGGTGGTTTTACAAGCATTAACTCGATCACCGTTCGAGCCCATGGCAACAATTGATTTATGCCTTGTTTCTTGGAAGACAGTCTTCCTCGTGGCAGTGACTTCAGCACGTAGATCCTCTGAACTATGCGCTCTTCGAGCAGATCCCCCTTTTCTAAATTTTCATAAGGAAAAGGTGGTTCTTCGTATGGATCCGTCTTTCCTTCCGAAAGTTGCTACCTCTTTCCATATGCAACAGAAAATTGTGTTACCGGCGTTTTTTTCCAGTCCCTTCGAATCCGATAGAAAAATTTCTACATATGCTGGACATCAGTGCTGCTTAGCCTTTTATAGATCCGCGACTGAATCTTTTCGACATTCAAATAGACTCTTTGTGAAATATTCGGAGCACGACAGAGGTTGTCCAGTTACCTCTCAGCGCCTTTCGAAATGGATAGTTAATACAATTGTCCTAGCTTATCAGCTAGCCAAGTTGGACTTACCATCTACTCCAAAAGGTCACTCCACAAGAGCTGTCGCTGCCTCTTCAGCCTTTGCATCAGGAGTTCCGATAGAGGTTGTGTGCAAGGCGGCCATTTGGGCTACCCCGTGTACCTTTGCCAAACACTATAGGCTAGATGTCCATGCCAGACAGGATTGCTCTTTTGGCAGAGCTGTATTTTCGTCTGTCCTTCAATGATGACAGCTCCCTCCTCCAGTTGGGGTAAGCTTGTTATTCTACCCATATGTGTGATGCACAGAGGCCACGACGAAGAAAAGCAGGTTGCTTACCTGTAACTGATGTTCTTCGAGTGGCCATCTGTGCAGTCACACAACCCATCCTCCGACCCCTCTTGGTGTCATGGGTGGTTCGATTATTTTTACTTAGATATTATAATCTCTCCTATGTGTCGTACCGCTACTTCTTTAAACTTCTTGTACTAATGTGCAATGTCATAGGGAGCCAAACGTCGGTCTTTCAAAGACTGGAAAATGGCGGTCACTCTGCTCCTTATATACTGCTAGGGGGAAGGGGGAGCAGAGTCCCCGCCGAAAAGGAAACCGTTAGCTATCAATCTTCCGGCCAAAGGCACTGCGCAGGCACAGAACCCATATGTGTGACTGCACAGATGGCCACTCAACATCAGTTACAGGTAAGCAACCTGCTTTTCCTCTTAGCTATTTTAGCATTCTGCAGCAGCTTCATTGACAGAACAGTTCCTTTTTCCTGCTGCAAATTTCAACAGAGATGTGTGTCCCCAGGGCCCGCACCATGGAACAACACATACAGCCCATGTTTAAAGGCAGACATAGAATACACTCATACAAGGGATTATAGCTGGGTGGTAGACCTCATGCCTTGCATGAAGAAGATCTTATGTTCAATCTTTGGCATCTCCAAGTAGGGCAGGAAAAAACTCTGCCTGAAAGCTTGGCGAGCTGCTTTTACTCACTATTGCCAGTACTGGGCTTGAAGGATCAGTGATTTGAATGACTAAAAAACATTTTCCTGCTCCAGCACTGTTTCCTTTTTTCTGTTTTATTGCTGTAATATATAATAAAAGCATAACAGCAAAATCCCAACCCTTCTTTATCATAATTTTAAACTTAGTCAGTGTTATAGTCCAATCACAGAGTTCAGATTTTTGGGCGAAACAAGAATGTCCTGTATCTTAGAATCGCCTTATGATATGAAGAGGTAAGATTGGACAACCACATGTTGGGGATTACAGGAATGGAGCCAGCTGGAGCTGGGAGTCAGACTAGATGGCCCAGGAGACCCCTTCTGACTCAGTTTGTTTCTTTGTTTCTGAGAGGGAGAATTTACCTAGCCATTGCAGTACGATGCCAGCATTCCAACCAGGAACAAAGCCTTTTCCTTTATAGTGGAAATGTTAAGAATTGTCTACCCCTTGAGAGAAGGGGAGGAACAATTCAGTTGTCACAACTATCATCATTTGCTAACAAGACACAAACTCTCTCCTGGCTTTCAGTGTATGGATCAGATAGATTTACCAATCATTGGAAAGGTTTGCATTTTGGAGTCAGAGTGAGGAAGAAGATTGTAAATCATTTTAGTGACATACAATGAAATATGTTGTATATGTATAAAAAGCCAGCTTTCTCCCTCCACTTCACCAGGTGAGTATCTGCCTGCTTGCCTGTCTGGAGCTGCCTTGCCTGTGTCAGAGGCAGGGCCAGAAAACACCGACAGTGGCAGAAGCAGTGGCAGTACCTACATCAACAGATTCACGACTAAGGCAACAGCCTTGGGCTGCAACTGAAGGGTGCCAAAGGGCATCACACATTTGATGCCCATTTGGTGCTCTTCGGGTATCAGACTTTTTGTGGAGGGAAGGGATAAGTGTTTTATTGTTATATCTTAAATGTTCATGTGCTATTTATATGCTATAACTTTAGAATATTAGTGTGCTATGCTATTATTTTATATGTTATTTTTGTTAACCATCTCTAAATAATATTCATTTATTTAAGGCTGTTCTATCCAGTCATTTATTCTGAAATCTCATGACAGTTTACAAAATTAAAACAAGAGAACAGTTACAGCAATTAAAAACTCCACAGTTCCAGTATTTGATATAAAATAAAATAGTTAAACATGCTGTCAGCAATTTAAAAACTGGGAAAATGAAATGTTTTGGCTTGGCACCAAAGCGAATAAAGCACTGGCATCATGCACATTTCTCTGGGAAGCATGTTTCACAATTAGGGTGCAATAGCAGAAAAGGCCCTTCTCCTTCTAACAACCTTCTCACCTCTTTCAAGGAGGACTCTTGAAATAGGACCTCTGCAGATGATCTTAAGGTCATTGTAAGCCAGCTAAGGACTTTTTGAATATTTGACAGCAAATAAATGAAAAATATAAATAAGGTCCGGGCAGGCACATATGGAAGGAGAAATTCCTTTAGATATCCAGATAAAGGTCCTAAACTTTTTGGAGCTTTATGTCAGTTTCAGCACCTAAAATCAGGCCTGGACTTGTAGCCAGTGTAACTGGTATAAAACAGGTGTGATGTGTTCCTGTTTACTGGTCCTAGTCAACAAATGAGCAGCTCTATTTTGAACCAATTGCAGCATCCAGACCATCTTCAAGGGCAGTCCCATATAAAGTGTGTTACAGTAGTCCAAATGGGATGTTACCGGTGCATGAATGAATAAACAAACAGACAAAATTTCTTTCATGCTGAAACAAAACCCAGGATAGCATTATGCAGATAAGAAAACGCTTGACTGTCTGTCATTGGAGTTATTATAATGAATAGATTAAAAAGTAAATTTATCCCTCACCATAATGTGGTCTATTACTGTGTCCCTTTCTCCCATGTAAGTGAATAGTTGTCTTTTAGGTTGATAGGGAAAAATAAAGCATTACAGATGGGAAAACACTAGTGAGGGCTAACCCTTTGCTTTATTTTGACACTGGATACATTAGAAAGGATCTCAATATATATTTTGTAAATAGCACACAGAAAACACATTGGACCCACTGGGGGGTCTTGCAATATTTGATCGCAAATACTTGAGCCTTCTGTTCCACACCACCTCAACTGTTATAACACTGAGCTTTTTACTAGTAAATATACTAGTTCAAGCAGAGATCATGAGCTGGACTGTATTTTATTGTCTTTTTCAACTTATGAGAGAATACTTTGACTATCCTGTGCTTATATTTGAGGCTTCAGAATCACCAATGCATCAAAATCAATTTTGAGAAGTTCTGCTAATACTTAGTAGCAAGCAACAGCTTTATATTTCTGGAACTAATTTTCTGCCTCCTTGCTTTTTTTATTTGCAGATGAAGAAGAAGGCCAAAAAAGCTTTAGTTGAAACAGTTACTGAAGAAGAACATTACAAGGTGCCCGAGTACAAAACAGTGATAACGATTTACTCTCAAGATCAGCTGAACATTACATTGTCCAAGTGTGGGATGCAAATGTTGAATAACATGGGCACGGTGAGAAAGACTTGAATACAGATTTGTATCCAAAATGAAATAATTCATATATAGACTGTAATTTATCTTTCACTCAGAAATAAGTTGTTATCACTTAGCTAATTCATGTTTTTGTACATCTTGCTTGGTTAGGCATTTGCAGAAGCAGCTACAGAAACTTCAGAAATATTCAAAAAAGATCAAGCTCCCTTTGTACTAAAGAATTCATTAGGAGTTTCCACCATTGTCTTGCCTAGTGATTCCTTCAGTGTCCTTAATGTTGAGCCAGAGGAAAATGCATTTCATCTGGAAGATGGGCAAAGTCTGAGTATGGAGTATGTCAGAACTAAAAGTGAACAAGACCAGTTCACAGCAATGACTACTCTAAGCAGCAAAGTATTCTACATTTGGCTCAGTAAGTAGACATGACAACTTCGTTTTTCTGTAAATTTTTAAAGTTTTACTTATCCATAGGTGTAGTGATACAATAACAGCCAATAGCTATTTTGATTAAAAAATAGAAGTTAAATCCTGTTTATTTAATTTTACACTGCTTCGTCTGGGCTAAAAGGTTTTTAGATACATTTCTTTCAACAGATTGTATTTTGTCATTTTGTTCACTACCAGAATAGTGCAATACACAATGCTTATTTAACATTAAGGGTAAACCAGAAACTCCAATTTGTCTACCCTGTCAAAGCAGAGAAATAACCCAAGAACAACCATGGATTCTCCTCTGGCTTGTTAGGGGAGAGACATAAACAATTGTTCTTGGTTCACATAATATGTCCAAAAACTGTAGCTGGTCCCTTTGTCTTTTAGCTGCTCCCATTTGAAATGAAACATTACCTCTCTCATGACAATTGCAGATTGTCCCTCTGTGCAAGCCAGCCCCAAACCCCTTTCTCATATATCTATCTATGGTTTCAATTCTTATAATTTACTGTATTTATATCCTGCCTTTATTCCTGCAAGGAACCCAATTATTATTTTATAACAGCACTGTGAGGTAGTTTAGGCTGAGAGTCAGTGACTGGCCCAAAATCACTCATTGAGTTTCATGGCCAAGTGGGGACTAGAATCTGGATCTCCCAAATCCCAGTCAAGCACTCTAACCTCTATACAACACTGTCTCTCTGGTGTCTTCTTTTCAGTTTCTAGTATCTTCTCTTCAGTTTGGTGTCTTCTCCTCAATTTCTAGCTCCTCAGAATCACTCCACTACTGAGAAGATCCCATTGACAAAAGTGGGCAGAAGTCTTTACAGAGTAAGACACAATGATTCGGGTGTTGTAAGATCTATTGTTTGTCAAATTGATACCATTGAAGGGAGCAGGATGATAACAGTACACTCTCCTATTCAGGTAAGAAATTTTCCTTAAAATGTTACTGATACATACATAGATTTTACAGATGGTGCACAATCTCTCTCTATTTCTTTTAGCCATTTATGGAATGTAAATGTGCTTGGAGATCTAAGCAAAATTTGTTGTAGGAGGAAGGGGAAGCTTTACTCACTAAAGATGTGTCCTATAGGGGGTTATCTAATACAGTTCACATTTTAACTGGCTCTTTTCCTACATAGGCAGGATGTATTTTCATTCCACTACCAGTATGAGTACAGATATCCTTGTTGCATGTATGGGGATTTTGACATGGAGCTGCTTTCAAGAGGGCAAACCTGTACATGAATACTGAAGTGCTGTATAACTCTAAGAGAATTGTACCCTATTGTTCCTACAGTATTTACCCACAGTAAATGGTTCTCAGGATTGTGGCCTTTGTTGATTCCTAGTGTGGAAATATATGACATGTTATAGTGCAATTAAAGTTAAATATGGAGATCTGTTATTTTTCTTTCCAGATAAAGAATCATTTTTCAATTCCATTGAGTATATTTGAAGATGGAAAATGTTTAGGAAAAGCTTTGCCAGGGGATGAATTTAACATACCATTGACATCTTACAGGTGGTTCTTCCTCTTTTTTCTTTTTTACTTTACCTTGCTTTTCTAAGTACTGACCATCCAGTTGAGTAAAAAAATGAATAATAGTATAATGATGTATATAGATGCATAATGTATAAAGTATAATAGTATAAAGTATAGATGAATCATGAAGAGAAGCATTTTATTGTACTAAGCATAGGATTATTATGTAACTGGTGTAAGATAGGTTTTGGGGCCTATGGTAACCTTTGGCAATTTGAGAAACTTCTCTGGTCACCATCACAAAATGACTATCACATGAGTAGTTGCCAGAAAGTGCAAACAAATGCCCAACTGATCAAGTGCAAGTGGTGTGGGATGACCCCTAACACACTAAATAACTCCGTTGAACCTTAAGTTTAAAGCTCCAAACTTTTACAGCATATAAACTGTTGTTCTCTCCATCCTACCCTCTCCAGTCAATTCATTCCCATTTTCTTTTTCGCTTTTACACTCTGGATCAACATCCATACACATGCCTGGTTGGGCTCTCACACATGCCATGTTCTCTCTTTCTCTCTGTATCCCTCTGTCATGATTACTGTCAATTGAAAATTATGCATTTCTAATGAAACAGAAACTTATTGCAACTTAGAAAAAGCAGTATGAATTTATTGTTGAACTAGCCATTAACTTTTTAGTATCTTGAGAGTTTGTTTGTTTGTTTGTTTATTTATTAAAACATTTTTATGCCGCCCCATTCGCCGAAGCCTCGGGGCGGCTTACAACAATAAATAAAACCACATAAATTAAAAAATATATATAAAATAGTAATAATTATTTAAAATACAATATACACACAATATAAAATAAGCCGCCCTGGCCAGATAAAATTCAGTAGTATTAACATTTAAAATGTTGCTTAAATAAAAAGGTCTTTGCCTGGCGCCGAAAAGCAAATAACGACGGCGCCAGGCGGACCTCTCTGGGGAGCACATTCCATAACTTAGGCGCCACCGCTGAGAAAGCCCTCCTCCGAGTAGCCACCCTCCTAATTTCTCTCACGGAGAAGGGCCTCTCCCGCCGATCTCAGGGGGCGGCTGGGCATATATGGATGTAAGCGCTCCTTCAGGTAACCAGGACCCAAGCCGTTTAGGGCTTTATAGGTCATCACCAACACCTTGAATTGGGCCCGGACTTCAATGGGGAGCCAGTGAAGCTGACGGAGAACTGGAGTCATGTGAACATTGTTGTATGGCGCGATTTTACGGATGAGACCAGAGACTGGTTGGAATTATTGAGAGAGATTTATTTATCTGCAGGGACCAAGCACTCTAGGAGTGTGGTGGCGAGCAGAGGGGAGACATTGATTTTATACTCTTTTACACTTATGCTTGAATGACAGCGAACAATAGGGGAACAACAGAGAAACAATAGGGGAACAACAGGCGTACCCCCCCCCCCATGTTCGCCGAAAGGAGGCCCGGGTTGATCCACCCAGGCGGAAAGAGTTGGCAGAGATCTATGCGGAAGTCCGGGGAGGCGTCGTAGATGTGAGTCAGGATGGTTGCTACTGGTGGGGAGGCCTGCCAATCAGTCCGCAGTGTCCATTCCATGGTGAGTGGCTGGTGTGGGTTTGGCCGAGGACAGCCTATTGGGCGGGCGAGAAGAACCAGGAAGACTGCCCGGAAGAGACCCTTCTCAACTTGACCCGCAGAGGGTTTCTGGTTTGGTGCACCGTCCATTTTTCCGAGAGGACTGGCGAAGCAGGCTTTATCTGTCACGTGGATCCAGTGGGGCTTTTCGGCCAGTCTTACCACCGTGGGAGTGGAGAGGATCACCTGGAAGGGTCCTAGCCACCGGGCACCTAGTGTAACAGGGTGAAAGTTCTTTAGCCAGACCCAATCTCCCGGATTTACGCGTGGGGGAGGGTCGGCCGCGGGCTCCAGAGCCTTGGTAGTCCCGCCCATGTTAGACTGAACCTGGCGGCGGATATCGTGTCGGACGCGATCGAGGGCCTGCAAGGACTCAAGCAAGTTGTGGTTAGACAACTCGGCATGCGTTTCCTCCGCCAGGCGGGGGAGCAGAGGAGGCGGCTGCCCAAATATAATTTCAAAGGGTGTGAAACCGTTCTTATACGGGGAACATCGTGTGCATAGGAGGGCAAACGGAAGGAGGTCTGTCCAGGGGCCGCCAACTTCAAGAGTGTATTTTGATAAAGTTTCTTTTAACGTTCTGTTCATTCTCTCTACCTGTCCTGAGCTCTGTGGTCTATACACACAATGCAGTTTCCAATCAATTCCTAGAGCTTTGGCTACCAATTTGGAAGTTTGGGCAATGAACGCCGGACCATTAACTGAACCCAGAGCTAGGGGTACGCCAAATCTAGGTAAAATTTGATGCAGGAGGGTCCGGGCAACGATCAAGGCTGTCTCTCCCTTCGTAGGGAATGCTTTGACCCACCCGGAATGGGTGTCGATGAAGACCAGTAAATAGCGATACCTACCTCGGGTAGGTTTTACCTCAGAAAGTCTATTTCCCAGTGTTCTCCCAGCTGGGATCTGCGGTGGCGAATGCCCAGGGTGGTAGAGGGCCGGCTAGGACCAGCATTAACTCTCGCACAGGAGGCGCACCCGGAGGTTATGGAATCGGCCAGAGTCGATAGTCCGGGCAGGTAGAAATGGGATCTGAATAGCTGACAGAGTCGGGCCGTTCCCAAGTGTGTGGCTCAATGGGTCTGGAGAAGAAGATCCCGCCCCAGTGCTTGGGGAAGGAAGATCCTTCCATCGGGATGTTTCAACCATCCCGCCTCAGTCTCCGAGCACTGCAACTTCCTGCCCAGTTCGATATCTTCCTTCGAGTAGTTTGGTCGGTCCGGGAGGGCCCGTGCCGGCATCTGGACTGAGAGAATTTCGAGAGCCCCTACTTGTCTCATGGCAGCCTCCTTTGCGGTTCTATCCGCGAAATTATTTCCCCGCGAGACCGCCAAGCCATCCCGTTGATGCCCAGGGCAATGAATTATAGCTATTCATTCAGGTAGCCAAATGGCTTCTAGGAGGGACATAATTTCGTTTGCATTCTTAATGTCCTTCCCTCCAGAGGTTAGCAGCCCTCGTTCCTGATATAGTGCTCCATGGACATGAGCCGTGGTGAAAGTGTATCGGCTGTCCGTATAAATGTTGAGAGTTTTTCCCCTCCCCCATGGAAGAGCCTGTGTCAGGGCAACAAGTTCGGCCTTTTGTGCTGACGTGCCATGCCCTAGAGCCTGGGCACATATTACCTCAGAACTGGTGACTACCGCTGCTCCCGCATACCGAATCCCATCTTTGACGAAACTGCTCCCGTCTGTAAACAAATTGAGGGCTGGCTGTCCCAGCGGAACGTCCGTCAGGTCTGGTCTGATGCCGGACAGGAAGTCGAGGATTTCAGCACAATCATGTGTGGGACTCTCGGATTGATCGTCTGGCAGTAGGGTCGTTGGATTAAGGACCGCTGCCTTTGAAAAGGTGACCTGCGGGGGATCTAATAAAAGTACCTGGTACTGAGTCACTTGGGCGTTGGAGATCCACCGATCCGGAGGGCTGCGGAGGAGGGTTTCCACAGCGTGCACCCCAATGACTTGGAGGTCCTGGCCCAGGGTCAGTTTCTTAGCCTCTTTCACCAGGACCGCTGTCGCGGCGATGGCCCTCATGCAAGTGGGCCACCCCGCCGCCACTGGGTCTAGTCGTTTCGATAAATATGCAACCGGCCGTCTCCATGGTCCCAAAGTCTGGGTTAAAACTCCCTTCGCTATACCTCGAGCCTCTGCCACGAAGAGCTGGAAGTGTTTCTTAAGGTCAGGTAGGGCTAGAGCAGGGGCCGTGGTAATAGCCTTTTTAAGAGCCTGAAATGCTGATTGCTCAATCTCAGTCCACATGAGGGAGTCACCTTTTCCTTCCGTGCTGGTGTAGAGGGGTTTCGCTATCTCGGCAAAGCCGGGGATCCACAGCCGGCAGTACCCCACCGTGCCCAAGAATTCCCTGACTTGTCGTTCGGTCGTAGGCATGGGAATATTCTGGATTGCTCGGACTCGGCTGGCTGACAGTGTCCGTTTTCCCCCGCTTAGATCGTATCCCAAATAGGTCACCTTCTGACTACAGATCTGTGCCTTCTTTATCGAAACTCGATACCCCATGGAGCCTAGAGTGGCCAGGAGGTTTCAAGTCACCTGCAGGCACGCAGGCGCGGATTCCGCCGCCAAGAGCAAACCATCCACATACTGCAAAAGGGTAACCTCGGGATGGGTTTCCCGGAAAGGGAAAAGGTCTTTACTCAGCGCCTTGTCAAAAAGGGTAGGGGATTTCTTGAACCCCTGCGGCAGCTGGGTCCACGTAAGTTGGCCCAAGAAACCTTGGTCCGGATCTGTCCATTCAAAAGCGAAAAGGGGCTGGCTCACCGGTGCCAGCGGTATACAAAAGAAAGCATATTTTAAGTCCAAGACCGAGTACCACTCCCGGGCTGGTGGCAGCTGGCTGAGTAGTGTATAAGGGTTTGGCACAGTCGGGTGGACAGTCTCCACTCGGGCGTTTTCCTCCCGTAAGTCCTGAACTGGCCGGTAGTCTTCAGTACCGGGCTTTTTAACGGGTAACAGCGGGGTGTTCCATGGCGACCTGCAGGGCACTAAAATTCCTGCTTCCGACAGTCTCTGTATATGCTTACGTATTCCTGATTTCGGCCTGGCTGGGATGGGGTATTGGGGCTTCCGAAACGGGGTGGCCGAACTGCTCACCTGTACTACGACGGGTGTCTGATGAGTTGCCAGTCCCGGGGGGTTATTTTCAGCCCATACTCCCAGAATCTCTTTTTGGAGCTCCTTTAAAACCTCCGAGGGGCTTTCCGGCACCTGACTTTCGAAGAAGAGATACTCGTCTTGCAAGGGCACCGTAAGCAGAAGGGCAGCAGGCTGTGGAGAGCCCAGGCTGAGGTGGGTGCCATCCTCTTGGAATGACACCGAGGCTCATAATTTTCTTAAGAGATCTCGTCCCACGAGGGGGAAGGGACAT